CCCAATGTGACGTTCTTCAGACGTCCTTCTTGGTCCAATCTTGGCGTTGAAATCTCCAATGATGATCTTGAAGGATTTGTGGTCTTCTCTGTAGAACTGCTCCAAGTCCACATAGAACTCTTCGACTTCTTCTTCGTCATAGTTTGATGTCAGCCCGTAAGCGAGGAAGATTGTCAAAGCCGAAATTGAGCCAGGTCTTTTTAATCGTAAACGTCCGATTCGGGTTGTAAACTGTTCGAATGAATCGATGGACAAACTCGTGTTCACGAGAACGCCGACGCCGGCGACTCCTCTACTGTCGCATGTTCCGAGGAACAGTTCTTCTCCGGTGTCACAGACGCCGTTGAAAGGAATCCTCTATTGAGGACTCGGTTGCAAGTGTACGTGCACTGCAGGTACAGATCGTCATCATAGTTCTTTAAAATCCACGTAGCGTCCATTGGCCCTGAGATTTTAGCAACTTCTCCGTACTCGTCCTACCCAATGCTGCAAAATTGGAGGCTCTTTAGGGGTCAGGGGAATGAGGCTCCTTTCTTTTTACTGTGTTTAGCCTTTCTGTTACCCACGTATAGCTTGCTGGGCTCTGAACGTGGGGCTTGGGTATACTCACGGGTAGCTTGCCAGGCTCTTCCAGAGTGGACGTGGTGCTTATTTGTTGGAGGCGACTCCTAACCGCCTCCCATATACTTCCCAGTCACTTGATTGCAGGCTTTTGGCCGAATTGACTCGTAGAATACAATCCGCATAAGCAAGAACGCATCCGCATGCATGAATACGCCTAGCAAATACGGAAAGTGTGTGCCAAATCAGCGCAGCAAAAACAGGGAGTCCATCTCCTGGATCCACCTGCGTCTCAGGGAAGCAAAGTCGCTTTTGGTCCGCGATTAACCCCCCATCCGCCACCTGGGACACGCCGCGTACCCTCGCGACTAACCTGCTCGGGATCCCTCATATCAGGGAGATCCGTGGAGATATGACAAGATATTAAGATTACAAAAGGCATACGACCATGAAATGGTACTTGGAAAGTTTAATCAGATATGTTGATACCAACAGAAATGTGGGAGAGGGGCGCGTGTGGCGCATTGGTCGGAGGAACCCTCAAATACACATGGGATCGATCCTCGTGCCCCAGGCTCACCAAGCCCTCCATCCCACCGAGGTCGGCAAATTGGTAGCATACTTGTCTTGAAGGATAGCAGCACTGGCTCAGATCGGCAGGCCACCGGGAGTTATTGTAAAGGCCAGATATGCATTTAATCACCTCCAAACGATGCTTAATGAAGTCGAATGCACTGGCGACTTCTCTCAGGAAAATTCGCCTCATTTAAGATTTCTAAATACAGAGGTGAAGGAAACTTTTGAACATTCATTAAACTCCACATAAAAGAAGAAACAAGGACAAGCAAAGCAGAACTTTCCCAGCCAACGACAGCTTCGTGCGGAACTCTTCGCCGCAATGGGCAACTATAGATTCTAATCAAATAAAGAATAGAAAAAACAAGAATATACCTCTACGAACTCGGCCAATGTGTACAATATTCGGAAGGCGCAATGCAGTTGAAATACCGAAGTGGAAGAAATAGGAATCTAAAAATAGTGAGCCGCATGGTGTGGTGGTAGATGCGTTAACCCGCGGAAAGTGTAAAAGCTGGCTGGTTCGACCTCTACCGAAGACACCCGCGATCCGGAGTTTTGCAAATATCTCAGCATCACTGTGGTTATAATCTTCATTTCTATCAAAGAAAACTAAAGGAATAGATAGCAATGAGACAATAAAATAAACCGTGGCGAAAGCGGGCTGTATAGATTTCTACGAGAAACTATGCCGTAAGGAAAGTCATGACGTATCTGTACAATACCATAATGGATTTAACGTTTAGACTTTACAGCCTAGTAACGATAACAACAAGGATGGTTGTTTAATTAATGGTTAATTAAGCTAATTAGTTAAGCTTTGCGGTTATCCTGGAAATTTAACCACGATGGATTCTCGGGGAGATTCCACATAAACCTGTGACCCTTTCCAAAAATGGATCCGAACAGACAACCCGTCTGGGTATCTGTGTTTATTTTATGAAATTTTACTGTCTTCGACAGAAATTTCAATGATACCAAACACTTCTAAGCTAGGACAAAGAAGAAATCGCTAGACGCATCCGCAAATGATGAAAAATAAATAAATAAACGAATAATAAACAAAAACAAAACAAAATAGAGAAATAGTACAAATAAAATAAACAAACAAGGAAACAAACAATAAAGACGCACAATAAATCCATAAACGAGAGCCACAGTTGTTGAACCACAACAATCTCTCCGTAAAATTACGGTAGCTCTCAGAGGTCGTAATGTTGCGTAAGCCTCTTTGCAAGTTCCTTCAAACTTACCCGCATATGCGCAATTTTGGCGCCAAAATTCTTCACTTTCGAAATTGCTTCTGGGTGTTCTTCGTGGTGTATGGATTTTCCCAGAATGAGTGTTTGTTCATTCACCATTGGTAGACAACTTGCTGTCTTCTGTTTTGAAGTCGGATTCATACACTTGTGGTGATGAAATTCTGAGTATTTTTGTTTGTACTTTCAATTCCATGCGTTTTACTGTTCCTTAAATGTGCAATCACTGTTATTTCCCTTGCCTTCTGTACAGTACCTCCCCCCCCTCCAAGTCTGTGCTAAGGATGGCTGTCGACATGTAAATAAACAAGTTATAATGTGCTAAACCTTTTCGATATACAGAGGACAGAGATTGCCTGTGAGATGTGGTTCTGGGAATGTCATGCCACCGTTACCCCGTGAGCTCAAATAGTTCTGGGCCCGCCCTATCACTTGGATATCAGTTTGTTGAGACTTGTTCTGCACGCTGTACTCGTTTTTTGAGGAAAGGTCGTCAATATCTTGAAATACTCTGTTATTTTGAACTTACATGTTATAACTTCCAATCTTGGGAGGTGAGAGGACCTCCCAACAGTCTACCGCCTCATCGTCGCTGGGAGATGCTCCGTATCGGGCTGCGATGTACAATGAGGAAATCATTTCCCAGCAAGGTCTCCCAAGCTCCGGAGTCCGGAGTTCCTATTAGGAAGCCCACCTAGAAGTAAGCCAATGCCCTGATCCACCACCATCCTGGTATCAAACCAGTCGCATGGTGACTAATCTCCCTCTGATCCACAATGGCGAGAACTACCTGTGGTGGTGACGACCTAGGGCAGACTTTGGCTATGCTGTCTCGGGGAACCACAGTGGTTAGACGAGCAAAACTCCGAAACAGTGGAAATTGTACTGGGATCAGCACAACCAGTGAAAACAGGCCATCCAAGTAAGTAACCTCCAATCTTCTGTTCTGCTATTGAATATTGGTGAAATCTGTTGCACGTTTCGCTGTGGACACGTCGAGCTCTATTAGTGTCATGTTTGTTTTTAGTATTTTTGCTATCCACCGTCCATTTGTTCCTACAGTTTCTTTCATTTCGGCAGAAGTGAACCTTTGTTCGATAGTATCCTGGTACTGAAATATTTCCATCATTTTCAACCAAAGTTCTGATGGAATCCCAAAGAACGTTTCGAGCTTTTTCTTTCAGGATGCTGGCTGAACCTGAATTTTGTGTTAATCCAACGGAGGCTTCAGTTTCCAAGCAAGAGAATGAGCCCAGTACCACAAGAAGAGCACAGGTCGTGAAAATCTTGGGAGAAGGTCGTTTTTCAACAGTAGTTTCTTAAGGGATACATCATTACTAAGTTACTTTCTTGATTTCCTTATTCATTTTCAGGTGCATTTAGCGAAGTAAAACTAGTCGTGGATCCAAGGAACCCCATGTGTTGTGTTGCGTTGAAATGCATAGACCTGAGGAAGTACAAGGATAACAACGAAGCTCTGAATCAGTTCAAGAAAGAGGTGCTCTTTTTAAGCAGTTTGGTCCTCTGTTCTTCACAAAGATGAGTGTTTTGTTATGTAAATCCTGACCCTGTGGAAGATTCTCATCAGAAGCTGATGTGTTTTTCGTGTAATCGCCAGTTACAATGTTTCCAATATTACAAGGTTTCCATCGTGAAGGTATCCATTGTCATTTCGCTACTTGGGATTTCAACGAATCCTTTAACGTTGTTTTTGTCGCGCTAAGTAATGCCTTAAATGATGAAGGGATACAGACATGCAAGACACTGCAGTGGGTTCTTAGCGAATTTAGCGAGTCAATTCTTGTGTATGTAACAAACATGCTCAATCAATGCGCTCAATAAGTAAATGAGCCACTTGTAAATTTCATCGCTTGGTGTTTCGGTTATTACCATAGCCAGATAACCTGTTTATAAACTGGACCACATCTTTCAGTCAAGGCCCTGAAGTGGGTAGGTTACTTCACATTTAAATATCGGGCTTAGGTGATGGTGCAGAGAAGTGATCCCTCTATTTAGTCTTCCATGTGGAAGCTACCCAGGAAGAAGAACTATACTACTTACTTGCGTACTTAGATGGCTCAACCTCACTGGTTGTACGTCCACCAGCAAACTTTCCGTCTTTACGGATTTTTACTGGTTTGACCATTGTGGTTCCCTGAAGTCAAAAGATCAGCCTGACCAAAGTCTCCCCAATGTCGTCAAAACCACAGGCAGTCGCCGCCCTTGTGGATCAGAGGCAGGTTTGCCATCATGCGGCTAGTTTGATACCAGAACAGCTGCGGAATCTGGTATTGGTTTACTCATATCTGGGCTTTTTGATGGAAACGCCCTACTTCTTTTTAGCTCTGGAGGCCATGCCGGGGGATGAATTATCCCGGTGTACATCGCAGTCCGACACCTAGGAACGCTTCCCCGCTTCGATGGGGCTGTATACCGTTGAAAGGAAGTAGTTGTATTAGAAATGATAATGTAACCTTTCTGATCCGAAACACTAGCTAGCTTCTTTAGGTTATAACATATGCTCTATGATTTCAGTGATTACAGGCGTACCTTCAGCGACTAATTTCAACCAAAGAATGTGATAACGTTATTCGCTACATAGGAATGCGTGTAGAGACTGAAGGTGGTTTGAACGAATTGCAATTGTATTTGGAGTATGCTGACGGAGGAGAACTTTTTGATCAGATTGGTGAGTAGTGATTTCGCCTAGCGAAAATCACCATAGTTTCCTCGAGCATTAGTGGCCGCAACATAGGTAGTTGGGAATAGAAACCTTTGAGGTGCTATAAATTGCCAGTTTACTAACTTAACAATGAAGTTCGAAAGTTTTGTGTTCTTCAAGGTCTTTCACCAGTGGCTTTTTTGTTTGTAGAACCCGACGTTGGGATGCCACCTGTGAAAGCTCAGTTCTACTTTCGCCAACTTCTCAATGGTCTTCAGCATATTCACAGCATGGGAGTTGTTCATCGAGACATCAAACCAGAAAATCTCCTTTTAACTGGACAGGGTACTACATTTTTGTGCAAAGTGTTCTGTTTCGAGTCGAACTGGTTCTTTTTGTGTTCGTCTAAAATTGTCCAAAGAATTATTTTAGATGTGTTGAAGATATCTGACTTTGGAATGGCCACAGTTTTCCGGCACAGTGGTCGCGAAAGAATGCTTAACGCGGCTTGTGGGACGATGCCTTACGCTTCTCCTCAAGTCATCAAGGGATTGTATAAGTTTGTCATCTCTATCAGTTACCAGTCCTTAAGCCAGCTGTAGAATTTGCTATTTGCCGTTTTGTAAAAAAAAAAATTCTTGTCATATTCTTAGAGAGTAGGCCCTTTTACGATGCGTTTTTCACTTTTTCAGAGCAGAACCAGTTGATATTTGGTCTTCTGGGGTTGTTCTTGTTGCCATGTTGGCCGGTGAGCTCCCTTGGGATTCAGCGTCTAAGTACGTTTAGTTGATTTTCTGAAATATCGCTGTGGAAATCAGAACAAAACATTTACAACGTTACGTTCTCTCATTAGTTTAGCTTCTAGCAATACAGCGTACTTCAGGGATTGTCCCGCTTATCAAGAATGGGTCAGTGGTAAGGTTGTTGTGACGGCAACCAACCCATGGAAGAAAATTGACAACACAGCGCTTTGTACGTTAATATCGCCTTTACGATACGAAACATGTGATTTTTAATGTTCTTTTCTAATTTTTCTATTTAGCCCTAATAAGAGCTATGTTGATTGAGAACGAGAATTTGCGCGCCACTCTTCAAAGAATTTTGGAGCATCCATGGACGAATGCTGGTTTTGGTAAGACGTGTTACTATCACATCCTTCTAACATCTTGTTTCGTTTACAGGATTTTCACGTCTGCACTAATTATATCGTTCATGTCACGATGCTTTTAGTTGGCACTAATGAAGATGTCAATGTTCCGGCAATAAAGAGAAAGCGGTTGTCGAATGATAGAAGCAGTTGGTTGGTTTATCTTCAGTAATGTTATTTGCATTTTTTCAATTTTTAATAGGTGAGAGGCAAATTTTACATATCAAGCTCACGTCTAAATGATCAAATCTCTATTTTCTGTTAAATAGAGCTGTTAGTGGCTTAATATTGTTGAAATATGACGTTTAAAAACTTGAACTTGTCTTATGAACTGATCTTGTTGAGCTGATGCGACATTGCTATAGGTTGTCGTTGTTGTTGTTGTCGGTCGATGACCGACGTTTCGGCGATTTCGCTTTCCTCAGAGTCATGATGTTGCGAGTGGAAATGCCACTCCAGTCCACCCAATCCCATTCGTAACATCATGACTCTGAGGAAGAGAAAATCGCTGAGACGTTGGCCATCAATCGACATCCACAACAACAACAACTAGTACCAACATCGCATCAGCTCAACAGGAGCAATTCGTAAGAACGTACATAGATGTATTGATTGGTTACGCCGAGTTTTATAGAAAATCGGTCTTTTGAGTTATCGAATTTGCCTGTTCCAAAAATGAATTGTATACAACGGAAATTCCTATCATGTTTAGCGTGGCCGCTTCCCAGCCTTCAACATTCAAGTGCTCAACATCCGACGTTAAAGGGTACAATTCCTTCTCGCAACCTGCCGAAGCGTTGTTGCTTAGCACAAGTCAAGTGTCGCAGAGTTCCGACATTGTAGGGAAAACTTATAATGGAGTTGGAGGATAGCAGTAGTTCTAATGCTAATCTCAGGACCCGATGGCTATGATGGTCCGTCGAATGACGCGATTTTGTGTTACCATCTGTGGTGCAGAGGTTCTTCCTCGCATAGTAGCTGCTTGCGTCAATTTGGGATTTCTTCCTATGGAAAAGGCCAACAAAACAGCTAGGACTTATTCTAGTTCCCTTGCTAAATTTCAGTTCTTTTGTATTTGATCTTTATTTTCTTCTGTTTCAGCTTCTAATAACATACAGAGATATGTCGTTTGTGGTGACAATTTATGATTTGCCGTCAAAAGTTCTTGTCGATTGCAGAAGGTATGTCTAATATTGGTACTGTTTTCTTTTAACATGGTGCATGTTGCGCGGTGGTCGGAGGCGCCTTGCAATACACATGGGATCGATCGCCGCGTCCAAGGCCCGCCAAACCAACCATCCCTTCGGGGTTGGCAAATTGGTACCAAACTTGTCTGGGAGGATAGCAACACTGACTGGATACAACGGTAGGCTAGTACGAGTCATTGTAAAGGTCATATATATTCAATCATCTACAAACGATGCTTAATGAAGTCGAATGCATGGCGCATCCCTCAGGAAGTGATAAACGCTGTGAGCTTTATTTTTCCACTTGTTTTTACTTAGTTAAGATGTTGCTTATAAGTGAGCAATTGAGGTCGCGTGGAGATGGATTGGAGTTCAAACGCGCTTTTATACTCCTAAAAACACGTCTATCTTCTATAATAAGTAAAGATGGAGAATCATGGATGGAAAGTCGAGGTTTGACGTGCTCCCAGAACGCTCAAGTTGCCAGTTGGACAAAAACGCGAGCTCCGTAGAGAATTGGTTGTCGTCTTTTAAAGCGTATATTTTACACCGTTACTATCTTACAGTAATTTGATTTTTGTGGCCCAGTTTGCGGTCTTCTTCGGAGTACTACTTAAAGTTCGTAGTACTTACCACATATTGGATTTCTTAGCCATTCAGTTGTCTACGTTTCTTAACTAAGCATATGGTTATGTGGGATTAAAACTTGTCACTAAATTCGGAACCCCGTGTACATAGTAGTTGAACAAGGTTGAGGTGTGAGTTTGTATTTCATGGTATTGTGAGTTGATAAGAATATGAGAGTTTGCTAATATATTTCTACTAAAACTATTTCTTGCACTAAAGTGATGATACCGGAAAAATCTATAATTTGTGGAATCTTATGACCATGGTAGTAGTTTTTTATGTTGTTATTTCGTCGGAACCACTTAACGAATCGATTTCGCCGTCCTTCCTAAGTATTTATTTTATGGAGTTGCTATGTTGTAGTTGTAATGTGAATTGAATGACAGTTGTTATTTAGATTTCTCAATTTGTATGTGTATATATTTATCTAGTGAATAAATTATGAAGAGTGTTTTGTGCTTGAACTTGTCGTTTAGTGGTTAGGAAACCAATGGAATATTTATCTTTGTAGAGATGGTGCTAGTTGTTTAGTTACATAAATTTAATTGACTAGAATAGCGACATCGGTGTTGAAGAGTGTGGAAAAGCGGCAAGAGAAATGCTTAATGGTGTTAACGTGACACCAGTTAGTATTGGTTCTATGGATTGTAATGAGTTCTAAATGTCCAATCTATAGTAATTTATAAGGAGAAGAACGTAAGAATAGATTTACTAGTTTCTCTTTGAATGATCTTCTCACTAGTTTCTGGTATACGTTGCGCACCGAGCAACGTTTTTACCAGCTTTTCAGGTTTGCAAGGTGATGATGTTATACTTTATCAAAGGTTTTATGGACTAAATATGTGCAAACTTTGTGTACTTAACTTTTCACCAGTAGTCTTGAAGTGCTTGATTTCGTTATAGTTCCATGTGAAAGTTCAAAATTTCCGTTAGAAAATGAGAAGATGTGCAGCTCTGATTGATCTCAATGGCACTTTACATATAGAAGACATGGCAATACCAAAAGCCAGTGACGCATTGGAACGACTTCGTAAACTTCGACCAGTGAAATTTGTGACGAACACAACGAAGGTGAGTTTCTTGAGTGGACATTAAGATTGGAAGCGAAAAGTGCTTTTTTTTTCAGTGTTTTCTCTCTGATTTGTAGTCGTTTTCATGTTTTTAGGTTTCTAAAAAATCGCCCAGTTCAACATTTATGTTAAGGGTCCAGATTCTGTTCAGAGTTTCCGATTTATATTTTCATTCTTGTTAACTTCTCCCAACGGTTTGCCACCTCATCATGGCTGTTTCTGGGTATCGGACTGCGAAGTACTGCGGAGGGGAATGATCCACAGAGCGAGACCTGCCAAGCTGAGACCAGTTAAGAGTAAACCAATGCCAGGATCCACCACCGTTCTAGTATCAAACTAGTTGCATGGTAGCAAATCTTCCTCTGATCCACAAGGGCGGCGACTACCTGTAGTGGTGACTATCTGGGGCAGACTTTGGCTATGTTGACCGCTGGACTCCAGGGATCCGAAGTTGCTAAACTAGCGAAACTCCGAGACAATAGAAATTTTGCTGGGACCCGCACAACCAGTGAGGACAGGGCATCCAAGTACCGAGTAGGTATCTTGTTAACTTGGCGTATTAGTACAGTAATGTTTTGATTTAGAATGGGCAAAACACATTAAATCTCGAATACATTAAGTGCATAATTTTCAATCAACAGATCTCAGGTTAATATGAATATTTGAAATTCACCAACTTTTTTTATTTACTGCCTACTTCATTTTTTTCACGGCAGGAAACTATGCGATGTACAACAACAGTGATGCTGAGATATTTGGAAAATTCCGGCTCGCAAGTGTCTGCGTTGGGGTCGAACACTCTATTACACTTTCTGAGTGCTCACGTGTTCATCTCCACACCTCACGCGTTCTTCGTTTTGCCTTTCCCTTTCTAGATGATTGCTGATCGCACTGGTAAATAGAACACTAACTGAGAGAAAAGCGAAACGAAGGTCTCATATGGTGTTGTTGTGAACGCGTCAGCCTCCGAAAAGAATAATAGCGTGTTTGCTCCCCACCGCAAGCAACTGTGGTGTGGCGTTTTGCATATACCTCAGCATCCCTGTGGTTTTACCAACTTTGTTAGGTGTATCTTCCTCTCCTTATTCGTATTATATATTTCAGGAATCTATCAATGTTCTGTACAATCGTGTTACTAAATGTGGGTTTCGCATAAGCAAAGATGAAATATTCACATCACTTGTAGCTGCACGACAATTTGTTGAGAAGCAAAATTTTCGACCAATGCTTCTGTTAGATGGAAAGGCTATTGAAGACTTTAAAGGTTGAAGCGCTACTAAAAAATAAGACAGGAGTTTAGTATTAACACAGCAATGCTTTAGATGTTGATACTTCTGATCCTAATGCTGTCGTTATCGGTTTGGCACCTTCTGAGTTTCATTTTGAAAAATTGAACGATGCTTTCAAATTGGTACTTAATGGTGAGTTATATTCTGGAGAATCAAGTATTTCAAAGAGGGGCTAGGTTGGGTGAGAGCGCGGCAAAATGTCGAGGAACGGGTTAACAAACATACATAGAACTCGTAGAGGGCACGGTATTTCGCACCCGTTTCAAAGTCACAAAGATGCTAAGGGATAGGCAAATCCCAGAGCTTCAGGTGGGCTTCTAATCCGCGATTAGCTTTACCGGGAGCTCACTTTTTATTTACTTCCCATCCACATCGTATTCTCCTATGAAAAATAAAAGGATAGGCAATGAATAAAAAGTTTAAACGTTTAAAAATCGTTATGGCTTGTTCTGTTGTGACGTGCTCTAGAGAATCAGACCACTCAATGGTCTTTGTAAGCTGAACGCTGCTAGCGGGTGTTTATTGGTCGGTTTATCAACATGCCTAGTAGTTTGTTCTCGCCCGAAAGCTGCGCTCGAGGAATCGATGAGAACCACAGTTGACCGTGAATGTTTTGTTTAGTGCTTCTGGCGTGTAGTTTAATCACTGGTAGTTTGTTAGGCTTTGGATATATATATGGAATATAGTAAGCTTTGGATATACTTACGGTTGTGCTTCCTCGGAATAAGTCTTGAACTTTTTGTTCAAGGTATTCCGAAACGCCATTTCACCACCTGTCACTTTATATTTTATCGAGCTGACATGTAAGCTGTAATCGTATCCATGCTAGTGCAACCAACGCATGAATTTTGTATACATCTTGAGAATATTTATGCATTTGGAAACCCACTTCCTTAACTGGAACATCTACTTCTCATTTAAGCTGTGGGTATTCCTGGACGTTTGATGTACGCTTGAGTTCGTCTTTTAGCAGTAGTGCTAGATGGCGGCAGTATAACACCTGCTCGGTGACCTTACTAAAAGTAAAGAAATGCCGCGAGTTATTGTCATTCTGGGAAATTTTTAAGTGTAAAGTGGCAGATCGACATGTTATCCACGAGAGCCGATTATTGATAACCCTAGTCTACTTTGGAGTTTTTTTTTAGGCAAGGGAAAAAATCTGGTAGGACCAAGGCATTTCAATTAGCAAACTAATATTTGCACGATGATGTTGAGATATTTGCAAAATTCCTGACCACAGATGTCTGCAATGGGGAACGAACACACTACTACCCTTTCCGGGTCTAACGCGTTCAGCACCACATCATACGAGTCGTTCGTTCCGCCTGTCTCTCAGCTAGCTCTATCGATCAGTGCCATAAGCAAATAATATTTGCATGGTTCCTAATGAAGACGCGCCATTCAAATGTTTAAGTGTTCAGAAGATTTAGTCAATTCGACAAAGCAGAGAAAACAACCGACTATGAATTTAACTTGTATCACCACAAGAGCTTCGTCTTCATTCATTCACATTTCCGCCACTCGTCTCTTAGTGTTGGCATGTAGAACAGTAGGTAGTGTTGTCATGCAAAGGTGGTTTTGGTTCGATCCTGCTGCTTGGTGAAACTATTTTCGCTTTCTCCTATCATTCATCTCGTCGAGGAAAATCGGTGCCAGACTTAGCTAAAAAGATAGAAACACTTAATTGATCCATAAGTAAGCCACAAGTCACTATATAGGAAAAATGCATTCAGTTATATATATATATATATATATATATATTATGTGTATATGTACTGAATGGTTATACTTAGTGTAATCTTTAAGACATGATCAAAGCTGAACACTATATCCCTAATCTTTATACCCTATCTTATATAGTGACATTTCGATGGTACGTTGCGATTAATGCAGGATCTAGCGTAACCTTCATTTTGATGGTGCTTCGTGATTGAATTAAACGCATCATTCTTATTTCGCAAGATAGCCATCTCAGATCGTTCCCAAATCGTTACCGGACACAAATACCGAGCGCAGCTTGGGTGGCGCTGCCAGAGTAATGCGGTGAGGCAATGAAGCATTGTGAGTGGCATTTAGGATAATCATTCTATGGCTAAGCGTCCTATCATGCTGTTAGTTTGCGGTTCTTAAAAAATTTACTCGCAAAGAGCTGAATTTCATGGTCCGTTTCTTCTAAATTTTCTAGGAGCACATCTCGTAGCTGTTCACAAGGGACGTTATTATAGGCGAGCCGATGGGTTAGCTCTGGGTCCTGGACCTTTCGTGGCAGCGATTGAATATGCTACTGGTGCTAAGGTACGCATGCAAGTTGATAATCTCACATCGCCTTGTCCTTTAACAACATGAAATATAAAAGAATATTATTACAACAATCTCTTTAGGCGACAGTGGTAGGAAAGCCGGAGTCAAACTTTTTCCTGATGAGTATTGCCACTCTGGGCGATGACATTGACCTTAACAATACCGTAATGATCGGCGACGATGTGATAGATGATGTCATGGGTGCTATTAACAGTGGAATGAAAGGAATTTTGGTCCGCACTGGGAAATACAGGAAAGGTATCTTAATGATCCTTTGCGATAGAATTATTTTTATATTGTTTTAGCAACGGTTTTTTTTACTAACAGGTGATGAACAACAAATCCCAGTCGAGCGAAGAAATTGCGTTGAATCTTTTGCTGAAGCGGTTGACTTGATAGAATCGGATAAAGTTCTGTGACAGACTCTTCATTAATTTGTTAATTTATCATTTTGAAAGGAATCTGCTGTGATCGTATTGCCATATAGTCGCAGTTAGATGTTGCAGTTATGTTAGAAGATATCTAGTCAAGAAATGTTAAAGAAATAATGGATTGACGACTAGCAACCGTTGCTGCATAGTGTAATGTCTCCATATTGATTTGTTTTTCAAAGGGTAATCGATGTGACCTCATATAGAGTCTTACCTGGGGGAATATTGACTCTATTTGGTTTTGAAGTCACAGCACACGACAAAGAACTAAGCGTCATTACAGGTGTGTTAAAGATCTTTTTGCTTGTTCGTATACGGATAGAGCACTAATTTATGTCATGTTATCGACAGTAGTTGCCATGCAGCTCTAGTGGTTAGCACGAGAAAAACAACTGACTGTGTTAAGGCTAGCAAGAGGAGCAGGTGTTCTCTTAAAAGTTCAGAAATCCTTATGAAGTATTAACTTTTAAGGCCGATCTTCTGTTAACCTCAGCATGGGTCAAGAAATCGTTATTTTCTTGGTAGGAACACACGTCGTTTTTACTATACTGTTTATAATAGTAGCTGATCGACAAATTTCGCATTCTTCTGAGCCTGTGAAGGTCAAGTTGGCTGCATTCTAGTCAGCAAACTGCCTTCATAAGTTTAACATATAAACCACACAGCCTAAATTCCAATCGCACTGGAAGGTAAGACCGGTTGTTCACACACTTACCGTCTGCTTTGAGTTTTCTACTGAGTATTCCACGTGGGGACAATCGCACAAAGTTTACGTGGGTGTGTAACGTTCCTCTCTGACAACACTGTATTGTCTACTCTCACGCGCGACAATGAGGCATTCTACCATACAGCTCATATTTGGGGTCTTGGAATTTGTGTGGAACACTTCGAGGGTTTTGCGCGCTGAAATTTTCGACTCTTGTGCTAGGAAGGTTACAATTGCTGCGAAATCTACTCCTACATCTTTTTCTACAATATGTGCGCTTAGTGGAGTATTTGGTTCAAGTTTAAGCTTCCCATTTAGGTGTCTTTTATAAGGACCGAGAGTGATGTACCCGTTTCGCCTGCGTATTCGTCTTCATACGGTTTTCAAGAGATGGGATAAACTTTACTCGAACCCATGCAGCCAGCGTTTCTACCGTTAGGGGATATTATATAATTTTGTATTGTGAATAAACAGTCATACAAGCGGCTACGAACGAGGACTCGGTGATTGCTGATGGCATCATTAGATAGGAAAGTAGCTGGGAGGAAAACAAGGCAAGGGCGTCATTGGGGCAGTGGTTAACACGTGAGTCATCGGGAAGGGAATTCGTGGGTTCAAATCTGGTTCGTCTCAGAATCATAGTGATCGACTAATTTTTAATAGCTGAGCAAAGCCAATGCTCAGAAACCATCAGTTATACAGGAAATAGCCAACATCTTGTGTAATAATGTGGTGAAGTAGATTAGTAATTAAGTGGTGCACTTATGATTTATTTTATACGTCTCGAAGTACTCGGTATGAAACTCAGCACTTTCACAATGTCAAAGAGTATGCTTCATATTCCCTGATAAAGAAATAGCGAACCCTTTTCTTGTGCTCTTCTATGAAGAGGTCTTCCAATGGTTTTCAGAACAACGCTCTTTCTCAATCATTGATTTTTGTGGTGGAAAATATGCTTAAAGTCTATGCGATTACAATTGTTAGTCGTAGCTGTTCGTTTCTATGGTGTCTTTATTTCACTGAATACTATACACTTAAAATATTTTTCGAAAAGTATAGATATTAGGTACAATAATTGTTTAAGCTTTCTTCAGCAATCTTTTCTTAGCCATCACCCTTCGCATTGTTTTAACTCGTTTGAAGGCTCGATATCTATACGGAATTCGCTGCTTGTATCCACGAACTAAAATTTCTTCCTTTGAGTTCATTCTTTAGTAATTGAGGTATTTTCAAAACCTCACATGATGGAGCGGAACCAATTGGTGCGATTGGTGCAAAAACATGTGGCGAAGGAACAACAGCATATCCACCATTTGGAGGATGATAAAATGATACTGGAGCATTGTTCTGAATCTAAAATAATAAGTGGTTCGTTTTACATCGGATGGATTTTGAGAACAATGCCACCTACCACGGGAGGCATTTCGTAGCCATCGAATGATGATGGAGGCGATTCATATCTTCTCGATGGTGAAAGAGGATTTCTGTAACCGTCCGGTGGGGTCGGGGGCAGTTTGTATTGTTGCGAATACGATTGACCAGGGATATAATCACTGGGTGTTGGTGGAGGTAACCCGTATCTTCCCCGTGCTCGAGGAAGGTCTTTGTGACGATCTGGTGGTGACGTAGGTGGCTCATATCTACCTGGTGGCTGAGGTCTTTTATAACTATCAGACGGGGACGTAGGTCGTTCATATCTTTCCGATGGTGACGTGGCTGGTTCATATCTTTCTGGCGGAGGCGTTGATGGTACATATCCACCTGGTGGTTGAGGTGGCTTTTCATAGCGATCAGGTGGGGAAGTAGGTCGATCATACCTTCCTGGTAATGACGGAGATGGTTCATATTTTCCTGGTGGAGATGCATATAGTTCATATCTTCCTGGTGGCTGAGGTGGTTTTTCGTAGCGATCAGGTGGGGAAGTAGGTCGATCATATTTTCCTGGTGATGATGTAGGTGGTTCATATCTTCCTGGTGGTTGAGGTGGCTTTTCATAGCGATCAGGTGGGGAAGTAGGTCGATCATACCTTCCTGGTAATGACGGAGATGGTTCATATCTTTCTGGTGCCCGAGGTGGATTTTCGTAACCACCAGGTGAGGAGGTAGTTCGTCCATATCTTCCCGATGTTGATATCGGTGGTTCATATCTTCCTAGTGGAGAGGTAGGAGGCTCATATCTTCCTGGCGGTGGAGACGGTTCAAAATGATATGTTGGCGGAGCAACGGCATATTCTGCAAAACTTATCATGATGATGAAACGTAGAAATTGGTGAAAGGATTATCGTGTGCTGATTTAGCTCTACTACTACTTTTATTTCCTCTGGCTAAGCCATAACTTTCTCTTCGTAGACTTAGTATTTTTAGTTTTGCACTATAGTTTTACTTCTTTCATTTCGTGATATTCGGAGTAATGGTAATGCTGTATTACTCAAGGGTGTCGCTTTAATGCTTTTGAGTTGAATTTTGAAATGAAAGATCTAAGAACTCACCGCTTTGATATGAATCTCTGTTTCTTAGGTTGCCTTCTAGTGTAGCATATTGACTGAAAAAGGTCTATTATTTACAGATCTATGTTTTATTATTCAGTGTTTGAAGTGTTTACGACAATAAGGAAACCTAAGAACTTACCAGCGTGCAGTGAAAAGTAGAGCTACAATCCAGACAATCCGCATTTTTTGCGGAGATGTACAATAATAGATGGGTTGGCACCTTTATACCACAGTCTCTTTAAGGTCATTCATTTAGTAATCAAGTTCGGCAACTTGTTCGCAAGAAATCGTTTATTTCTCCTCTCAACCTTGACGCGAAATCATCGATAGTATTAGATGGGCGCATTGTGTCTCCACTTTGTCAATTATTCTATCGGTTGAGAAGTGTTTGACATGCGAAGCTGTTAACTGCCAATGGTTTCGAAGGTCATCGTAGAGCGATTGGTAATTGACACGGAGTCGTAACCATACACAATTTTCTTATTGCTTCAGATGCAGTGGGTTCTATAATTTTTAGTCTAGTTTTTACACTCCTGTAGTTCAGTCATCTGCCATCCCATCGTGCCAGTCTATACAACTCTAGTCCACATTTGCTTTCGTTCTGTTCATGATCTATGACGATTTCGAAATGTGCGCTTACCGTTTTCGGGAAATGTAGAACTAAACAATCCCTACTTAGGAATTTCGTGCAAAAAATACGTCGTTTGATCATCCTCAGGCCGCAATCTGTGTCCTCGCGTTCATCTTTCGTTTGCGATAGTTTACAACGTGACTGGGATTTCTTGTCAATACGGAAGAATACAAAGCATATTATTGAAGAGAATTCTTAGAGTAATACTTTACTGAGTCGACTTTCACTTAGCCTGGACATGGATTTTCAATGCGTTTCTCTAGATTCTTCGGCTTACATTAGGTTGCAACTTTTACGCGAATAGTGTTTCAACGTCTTCATCTTCTTCAGAGACGGTGGTCCACGTCGGTGATCCACAGTTCCTCGTCCTCGCGTTGTGGACTTTCGTAGTCGTATCGAGTCGAAGAATATCCTTGAGTGGAGCGCTAGTCAAGAAGAGATCACCTCTGAAAATATGCTTATTGGAAGACTTACACCAAGAACATTGTTATCTATCTTTCTATAACATTCGAATGGTGTCACAACAACTTATGACCCTCAATTAGTCCTATGCAAAAAATTCGTTCCGTTCAATTCTGTTTGCTTATGCGTCAGGCAAAACGAAAGCAGCAGAGGGGCCTGTTGTTCAGGTTGTTCAGCTCAGAGTTTACATTCTGAGTATGTCGGTTTGAAGAACAGCTAGAGAACTGAGATTGAGAATTGAGAATAGAATCGCTTATGCCTTTTCGCATCGTTGTTCTGATGTAACATGGTGGACACAGCGGTGGTGTATTGCAGCAAAAGAGTGTAAAGCGGCAAATCCATCAGAGAGACTTATACAGGTGTGCGACCTCATTGGATACTAAAGGAATGGCCTGTGTTACTTTCATGTTGGAGACAAGCTTTAGTTACCAAAATTTCGGTATTTCTTGATAACATCTATTGTTTGAGCGATTGTTGAATTCGATTTGGATGATACTTTGTATCAAATCTGGCTGTCTGATAACTATTCCGTGGATCCCCCTCATGAAGGGTTTCATGCCGGTTACTCGCGAGGCTCCAATTTTCTCCAAATAGCGGATAGAGTGTTAGTCATATATAAAAGGTAACCGTGTACTTTGCTTGACATGTAGAAGTCGAAGAATGATCTTTCTGTGTGAGAGTACGCAGACTAAGTACTGCATCTATGTTCGGATATGCAATGAACTTGGCTCAGAATCATCCCCAACGAATAAGTTCTATGTCTATTGTAGGAGTTCCTAATCAGCTGCCAATAAGCACACTTAATGTCTGCGAAAAGTTCAAGTTTAGCTATTCTCCTTTTGAGAAAAGTTGTAAAAATAACACATTTTATTCGTATTTTTGTTGAACAAGCGCGAGGTGTTATTATTCTTTGTTCACGATTAAGCTGACGTTTCGGCGGATTTCGCCTTCCTCAGAGCCTGGAAAGGTCAAGTTGATAGCAATCTACTCGGCCAGACGCCTCCATAACCAAACAAAGAAACTCCACACCAAGATTTCAATCACCTTGAACACAGCTTTGCACACTCACCGCTTTCTATGAGGTTTCCACTAAGTATGTCACGTAGAGACCAACCGCACAGAAATCACGTGGAAGTATAATGTGCCCCTCACATCAGAAAAGCAGTTTTATATACTGCCCTATATCACGCGTGATAATGAGGCATTCTTCCCTGCGGTTCATTTTCGGATTTCTGAAATTAATCCAGAGTGCCTCGAGAGTTTTTCGCGCCTGTGTTGATTCGCGTGCGAGGATCGTGACACATACTTCAAAGTCCTCCCCGTTATGTCTCTGGGTCCTATGCGTGCCTAGCGGGGTATTTGGTCTATTTTTGCCGGCTAGGTGTTCTTTCATGCGGACACAGAGGGGTCTACCCGTTTCGCCAATGTATTCGTCACCACACGTCTTACAGGAGATCAGATAAGCTATACCCGAGCTCATGCAATCACCGTCTCTACCACTGGGGCAAATTATGCAATTTTGAGTTGCACATAGACGGTCATATAGGCGGTTACGAACTAGCTGGCGCTTAAGATTACTCGGTGGTATTTCAACTACGCTCACCGAATTCTCTAAGCCCGCCCTTCTTAAGCAGCGTTTTATAGCTGTACTTATATTATTTGAGATGAAGGGTAGGATAAACGGGACCCTTCTATCGCTAGAGTTGTCGTTTGGAGGCCTACGATTTTCTCTACACCTATCCTGAGCTACAGTTTCGTAGCCATTAGAGATGGCTATTTGCCGTGCCAAGTTCCGGGACTCCTCTCTCTGCTCTCTTCCAGTGCACACGTTGGTTGCCGTTCGAAACATGTTTCTTATAAGCGCCCTTTTCGTGTGAGAGAGGTGAGAGGAGAGGTAATGAACCAAGATGTCTTTACACATTTTATTGCTGCACACTTGAATTACTCAATGATTTGCTGGCATACAATTGATTCGCATGATATCAATATTCTTCTCGGTCTTCCGTTTTCACCTTGTTATTTTTTAAATTCTTATACTTTTATGTCTGAGACTCCTTTTCGTTTTTTCTTTTCACTTCAAATTGTTCAAGAACGGACAATCACAAATTTGCTCACTACTAAGATTTCCTAAAGACTGTGAAAAAGAATGTTGTATACATCATAAGGAATCTTTCCCAGTAAATAAAATATCTTAGTTAATAACTAATTTATAAACTTCATTGGCTGTTTCGATGACTTGCACATAACTAATGATCAGTAACCTATGCGGAACGGGTGATATGCTCCCACGGCCACAGAAAGGGCTGATTACGAAAAGTCGCACGCTATGGCGACGAACCAAAGTGTCGAGAAAGCCAAGCGGAATGCCATTATGGTCATCTGGAGTGTAGATGCCACCTACGCAGCAAGTAGTACGTTATAGAATTAGCTGAGGGTTCGGATATCTTCGTACTATGGGTGCCTTTGTACCTGTTATCCATCTATTTGCTTCTATTGAAGTATCTAAGAGCTTCAAATCATCAACAGAACTACTGGGTAAGATTGGTTATTTATTCCGTTAAATAATCATTTTAAAAAAGTTTTAACGACTAGAGTACCATATTTTCGGAGGGACACCTATAAATTTTGAAAATGTAGTTCCCTTTAAGCGGATGTAAGCTGGAAGGGGACAAACAAAGGGTTCGGCACTGGTCAATCCCTCAAGGATGCGTTATGAACCCATGCTAAATGAATTGAATATAACTGCTATAAGTTAACTTGAATACGAACGCAGTGTAACGTGCTGTAATTGATAGTTAGTGGGAGTGGGTGGTCGCTCCGACAAACTGCGTAATATACGATGAGTTTTGGATTCTTTGCCAAGTTACGATACTACATGACTCCTTACATACGCTAAATAACTATGAAGAAAAAAACGAACCGTAAGGCTGCAATGTGAACTGAAGTAAGAGTTTTTTCTTAATAAATAGCTACTTCATTTACATCGCCGAGTAGCAACTTTATTCTGACACTGAGGCAAAAAATATGTGGAGAACGGAGTATCAAAGCAGGCTATCGACGTAGTGGGAGAAAACTGAAGCCGACCACTATAGTGAAAATGGCTGACAAGTCAGTTGAAGAGCTCGTTTCTGATTCTTAGCTCTCCGTCCAAATCGCTTTTCCATTGACTGTTACCTTCTTCGGACAAAGGCCGCTTGGTGCATACCCGCTAATTTTCATGTGTCCGGTCGTGTTTAGGTTACACGAAAGGTGAACTTCTAGCTGAAAATTCAACATTGGAAAAGTCACGATGACTAAAATTACTGGAAAACACACGCTGAGGTTAATCGCAAGCGAAATTAAACGTTGAGAAAAAGTCAGAAGTGAGATAGATAGTCTCATCTCGTTACCACCTTGACTGTGCCGTCAGAATTTTGTTCATGGATAACAATGCTTCCTCTGCGCTGTAAATTCGCAATTTCTTCTGCCGTAATACTTCCAAGTTTGAGATCGTGATCATCAATACTGAAATCGAAATCCTTGCTAGTGATCACTATCACTCTTTCACCTAATTTCCGAATCATCTATTTCACAAGATTTAAGCTGATTACACACTATCAACAGTAATCTGTTTCGTAATCCAACTGGTCTCGATAAAGTCTCCATTCGTTCTTAATGCGCGCGCGATAGACCATGCGTACGATCCCTTTTACGTCTAACTTTAATGGAAGCGAAATGGCTGCTGCTAGCTCTTTGGATCCTATTATGGGTTACATTGTTATACTCCTCAGTATTTTGTTGGTTTATTTGGTATAAGCTGAACCGTCTTCCATGAGGATCCCACCGACTTTTCATTGTAGGATTTCGGCCGAATGGACAATCAGGGCGTAATGAACACAATTCAAGTACATCGAGAGATACACATAGAGACGTAATTGGGTATGAAAACGATATAAGTGAATCCACCACAGAAGAAGGGATAGGAAGCTCATCCTCTGAAAGAGCCTGGTTGTCACGAGACTCAAACGCAATGTGGCTTTTTGGTTAGGGATACATCGCATAGGCAAACGACTAACCGTCTCAAAACCTCTAACAGTGAGGGAGTGTTAGCCAAGAATGAGCCACGTCCACTATGGAAGTCGTCAAGCTGACCTCTCACATTTTCAGTATAGTAGATTCTTAGTGGGAAATTACAGCGTTTTTGTAGACAATCACGGTGTAAAAAGTGAGTTTATTTGAAAAGAGATGAAACACTGGCTACTGACGCTGTATGAAGTTGTGGCGATATGGGATCCTTTGCTCGACTGATGTCGCGCTCATCTGATCGAGTGTCGGGAGAACCGGCTTGCGTTGGTTGTTGTGATAGCGCCTGCAATTTCGAGTTCCTATCAGAAACAAGAAAAAAAAGACAAGGAAAGCTTGAGATATAATTTTTTATGCTTTTGTTCATCTAATCTCTTTGTTTCTTTGTTCTCAACTAGTTTGATTAAACTAGTGATCTTACGCCTCCCAACGGCTTACCACCTCATCGTGGCTGGGAGGTGTTCCTGGCTGACCGGCTGCGATGAATAGCGGAGGAATTCATCCCTCCAGCAGGGCGTCCCAATCTGAGAAAGATTCCGGCATTTTCATGAGGAAACCTAGCTAGGAGCAAAACCAATGCCAGGATCCACTACCGCCCTGATATCAAACTTGTCGCAAGGTGGCAAATCTCCCTCTGACCACAAGAGCGGTGACTGCCTGTGGTGGTGTCGACCTGGGACAGACTTTTGCCAAACTGTCTTTGCGCCTCCAGGAAACCATAATTGCTAAACCGGCAGATCTCCAGAGAACGAAAATTATGCTGGAGTCCGCACAACTAGTGAAGATGGGCTATCCAAGTATACAAGTGAGTGAGTGATCTTACAAGAGGCTTTGCAGTTTTAGTGGCAAGATGTTTCGAATCGTATGGCGATTTCCGCATGTTTCTCCTGAAATAAAGAGTTTATATCTTAGCTTAACCCAGCACTAAGAACTGTTTTAATTATTTTAGCCTTTTGTTTCTACTGTAATGGTCATCAATATTTTTTATCCCAACAACTTCCTATCCGTTCATGTTATTCATCGAAAAAGAAGAATAAGAATTTCCTTTAACTGGAAACTTTTGTTAATGGTTATTGTCTGAAGGTAATGGGAAGTCGATATCTGAAGCACTTGTAGATTTTATCTTATCATTTTGCTTTTCTAGGACCACTCACTTGTTAATTTTTTTTTCTGGACCTGAACTGCGACGAAAGGATGCTCGACGACGACTCTGGGTCTTGGCACTTCTTCCTAATCTTCCGCTTCGTGAACCTCTTGAACTCGAAGTTGACATGAATGAAAGTGGAAGAGCCGATGTTGGATGCTGTCCTAGACTCTGTTCATTGTTCCGTTCGTTCTCTTCAGGCCTGTGGTTCTTGCGACATCGAGAGGACAGCCGAGAACTGTTATAGCCACAGCTGTTATTAGCCATTTTCATAGAATTGTCGTTGATAATAGCAGTTCTTATTTCGTGATTTCTTGGCCGAGGTGTTCGATTGGTTAAATTCCTCGAATGTGGTAATGAATTTTCAGGCACCGGAACGTGGATGATTGGCCTACGATCCAAACTGCTTCTCTTATATCGCTCTGTTAAACTACCTTCTGTAGTGGGACCTTGTTCAGGAGTGACCACAGAGTGTCTTCCTGAGCTGACTCGCGGAGTATCAATTAATGGTTTTCTTCCTAAAATTGACTGGCTTCCTGAACATTCCGATGGCACGTCTCTTCGTCTTCTATCATATCGTGTGCTGCTTCGAAATGATGTGTCGTTGAGGAACGGCGACTGTTGATTGTTGAGACGTCCTGTAGAACTTCTTGAGCTATTTTCAGCGGAAAGACGCTCTCCGGGTGTTGTAGGACACATGATTCTGCTAGAACTTTGCCTAGAATATGGCAAAGGTGTGCTTCGTGATTTCGAAGTAGGCTGTTGCCTAGAAAATTTCGGTTTTTATTTCGGGCTATATTCTTTCAAAAATGTGAACTGTCACATACTGAGCTAGACGTCTTTTCATCGCTGCCACCCTTTCAGATAAAATTGAACCACTGCAATGACAATTGATAAAATTTCGATATGCAGTCACGGATATGATCAACCAAGAGTTAATACCATAAATCATTTCTAATATATTACTGAAAATTATGGACAAAACCTGGCGGAGAAAGCTGAATTTTCAACAGCTGTTCCACTTTGAAGATCTGTAATTAAGAAAAAGACTAGCTAGAACATTCATTGCGTAAAAAATTGAAGGTGATCTTCCAAAAAGATTCTAACCAGCTGGTCTTCCAAATAGACCTCGACGAACCTGCAAACAATGCAGAACAATACAGTAAGGATTTTAACGTTTTTTCGAAGTTCGGCTTCGTTAAATTTAAGATCTCTGATCATCGCCGACGTTTTTATCAAAAATCTTCCTTGTAAATTCTCGATATGGAGGGATTTCAAGTTTTAGATTTCGTTTTTCTAAGTTTGGATTTGCAAGAAGTCCCTTCAAGCTGCTGTTGTCATCAAAAAGATGTCTAACTGAAGCCACTGATCTCACAGAGACATTTTATTGTGCAAAAATAGCTCGGAGTCTTAATAAACTTTTTTCAGGCTGGAAAAAAGCTTTTAAACAGTGGAATGCTAGTAGTTCCACTGAGTTGTTTAAGATACGTGCTTGTTCAACTTTTTCAATCAATATCCACGTAAGCCTCAACACCACCAGAGAAAATATGCCGAATAAATTTTTTGAGTGCTAATAGAAATATTTTCAATAATTGTTAATCAATAGAACCAACCCCTGATGAGTACGGAGAAGAGTTTCGCCTGGCGTCTCTACCTGAATAGAGGTTTTTGTTCTACAGAGAAGATTCTAATGTGTATCGATCAGTAATCATGCCATTCTTACCACGCGAGCTCATAGATGCTAGTGCACTACGGATGGTCGTTGACCGGGGAGTGTAGATCGACGCACTACTATTATTCGATTGTCCTTAAACTATTTGTGAAGCGACATCGTAGCCGGACGAAAAAGATTTTTGAAACGTGCTAATTTAATGAATAGGGAGGAAAGTAGCGTCATAAAAGTAGAAAAACCTCTAGTAATTGGCATTAATGTAATCAGAATACGTTGTGGTCTGACGCTATAACTACTGTGATCTGATAATGGCTGCACGAAGATCTTAGAATTCTCCAAAGTGCTTTAAACAGGCGACGATGACCGACTACGTTTATGCATCGTCGCCACACTTCGAGGGCTGCAAGCAATTTTGTGTGCTATTGATTGGCTGCGCGTTTACACTGGTGATGCCGACCGATACCTATAGAAGAATGATACCAAGGCCACAATGAGTGCAAATACAGAAACTGGTTACCTCAATTTTTTTCGCTGCGTTCCCAAGTTTAAGAAAATTTTTCGTACATTTCATCTAAATGTTTTCTCCTCAGCGAGGAGCAACAATAGTTCTCAGAGAGCTACTTCTACGCGAGGGCGACGAAATCGGAATTTCCACGCAAAATGTAGAGCATAGATGGTTTCGTTTACTGCGATTTACAACGAGAGTCTGCTTAGGTTATGGTAGTGGTGGAATCACTGTCAGACCACGTTGCCGTCACATTTGCACATCAATCCGAAACCTCCGATGTTTTTTCTCGGTTAGCTGCTATTTCCGAAGGACCACAACAATTTCTACCATTAAAGGGAGAACGGTAGCACGGTAGCGATTGCGTCGAACGTTTAGAATTGTATTTTTAAGCAAACTGATTTTAGCTGAAGAGAAAAAACCAAGTACGATGAATGCCTAAGAGCTCATTCTCGTTTTCCATTTTCGGATGGTTAAGGGTATTTAGAAGCAGGAATAGTAATTCTTCTTGGAATACATTTTTCTAAAGTGAGCTCTTGAACGAACAAAATCTACTCTCAGTTTTTTCAGCACTTCTCACACGTCCTGTAGGTTGACAGAATGGTATTTTACCGTATGGAAGAATTGAACTTCTCCGTAGAGATTGTCGATCGGTAACTGACAGTCTTTAATTCAGCATTGCTCGCTTCTTATTTGTTTCCGGCCTCTACATTATTTAGTTTTGTGATAAAAGCTCTACATTCTGTAATTGACGGTGGTTGCTATGACTATGTCCAACATCTTCAAACGTGCGTCAATTCTTCTGTATTGACCGCAATGGTACAGTTATGAACCCAGCCAGAAATTATTAAGTACATAAACATGTGTCTATATGTACTGAAAAATACTAAAAGAGTGAGTGAAGTAGTCAGAAGCAACGTTGTCATTTGTGCACCAGTGGCCATAAAAATGATTTCATTCATCGAAAACAGTCCGATTATTGAGATAGCTCTCAAATACTGAACTAATTTTTCAAAATATATTCACAGTGACATTCTAACGCCTCCCAACGGTTTACCTATTCACCGTGGCTGGGAGGTGTTTCTGGGTGTGTACAGCGGTGGACTCATCCCGCAGGGTCTCCTAAGCTGAGTCCGGCGCTTCCATCAGGAAACCTAGCTAAGAGTAAACCAATACGAGGATCCGCGACCTTCGAAGTATCAAAGTAGCATGGTAGTAAATCTACCTCTGATCCACAAGGTCTACGACTGCCCGTGATGGTGAAGACCTGTGGCAGACTTTGGTCAAGCTGACCTCGGGATTCCAAGGAACCACAATCGCTTTACCAGCAAGTCTCCAAACAATGGTGATTGTGCTGGGGCCCGCACAACCAGTGAGGACGGGCCGTTGAAGTATCAAGTATCAAGTAAGACATTTGAATGAGCGCCTCCTAAGTCCCTGTTGATAGAAATGGAAACGCAAATGGCGCAGCGATCAGAAGTGTGCCGCAGTACACACGGAAACTTCGGTTCCGTCCTGTGCCCGAGACTCACAAACTCTTTTTTTCGAGGTTGATAAACTGGTGTGAAAGTTGTGCAGGAGAATTCGAACACTGAGTCAATGCATGGTAGCCCGCAGGAAACCACTGTATTGTCAAAATACGTACTCAACCTCCTCTTTGATGCTTACTGGAGTCGAATACGAGGCGTATCTCTTAGGAATTGATAAACAACGTGATCTTTCGTATAATCATTTATTATTTACGCTATTAATTAGCGATGTGGGTGCAACTAAGCAGACCCTCCTTCGCCTGCCTCTCAAGGAACGTCACACATTTGGTGAAGTGTCGCTTCCTTTTCGCGCTTTTTCATTTCGATATGTTATAAAAGGGTTGCTTGGTAAATGTTTTCATGATCCGTATTTACCTTAGGTGGGACTCTCAAAGGAAATGTCAATCTAATTGTCAGTGGTGTAGGTTGTCACCGGGGTAATACGTTTCCAATTAAGCACATTCATTGTGAAATTCGACTTGAACAAACGTGCTCTAACCAGAATATGTGGAAAGACCGTTGGGGTTGCACGTTGCATTTGAAAATAATGTTAATTTTGATAGCAAATTTCTTTTTGATGAGAATATATTAGGAGCGAAGATCAAGAGTTTAGATATAACAAGAAATTAACGCCTCTTTCCATCGAAAACTTGCCTCCTCCGTGCGTTTTTGCCGTTTCCACTTCTTTTGTAGGCCTGGTGCTAACTGTAAGCAATTCGATGAAACACTCTTTCATAAACGGCTACCTAAGCCGCTTCCATTACCAAGCAAACGACACTTTCTCTCTTTCATTATTATCTTTCCCGAGAAATCTTATAGAGTTTACCGTACCTTCTTTGGCGGTGAAAACATTACGAGTTGGAGACATTGTGTCTGAATAGAAAGGTGTTGCATTGTTTTTTGTGTCTTTTCTTTAGTTTAATAAAGTCCTTAGAAAAGTAAAGAAGAATTATTCGTTATTGGCGTACCTTCTTTCGCCGTAAGAACTCCGAGTGTAGGTGAAGCATCACCTGAATTATTCAGTCCTGTGGAACATCCTCAAAAGGAATTCAGAAAAAAAACAAATGCAATAAGCATGGTTTGAGCAAAGAAGAATGGTGCAAAAGTAATTGAACTGAAGAGCAATACTAGGGAAAAAATCAAAAAACAATTAGAATTACTACTGAAAACGCTATTTAACTGCCTCGTAACATATATTCGACGTGTACTGCATTTGCTGAGGTATGGAGCAGTATTTACAGGTGGTCACCATATACATATGGTCGCTGGTTCAAGACCGTGCCCAAGAAAACGAGATCCACCTTCTCCCATGTTTTTTAAATTGCTATCGGACTTTTTTGGGCATAAATATCTTTTCAGTCACTACCTCTATGTCCTTTAATGGAATCGAACTTATGTCGACTCTCTCACCCAAGGATTCCTCACATTTCCCTCCTGTTTCACCTCTTATGCTGCATCAAATCACCTATATCACCTGTGGACCAGTTACTCAACGAATGACTGAAGCAAACACGAATAAAGTGTGTTCGAAGAAATAAGTTGGGCAAAATCTCGAGTTTGGCAAGTAAGTTGTAGAGTGAAGGATTACCTCTGCCATCATGAATTTTCTATAAAAAGAAGCAAGGAAGAAGAAGAAAGCACAGAAAATTTGGAGAGAAGCTAAACCCCAAAACAAATACAATCGATAAGTCGTAAATCTCCTTTCTTGCAATTTGTATAAATTAATAGAATATCGGGTATAGACGTGAGTGGATTATCAGAAAACATGATGCGACCGTGCTTTCTTTGCACTAATAGTATTTTGCAGTGCCTTTAGAAGCACCTTAAAATAAAATTAGATAAATTAGAAAAAAATCTAGACGAATGGAAACATCTGAAAAATCAGTAGATATCACCATCGACTGAGTTTATGGATACATTCATAGATGCAGGTAAGAAGAACTGCCACACACGGACGAAAGGACTCATCCCAGTGAGGAGGTGGCGAAGGTCTGCATGGATACTAAGAAATCAGTGATTATATTTTACACATGCGGCCAATGAGAGGAAGCGAACGAGAACGCAGATATCCGTAGATACGATTCTTCATCATGCCTAGTGAAAGGGTGAGTACCAGAGCGTACTAGGTACTAGAGCGAGTTCCGTCCGGGCAAGAAACTGGCTTCAGCCGACGTTCACCTTTTCCGCGTTGACACTGTTAAAATGCTAACCCAACCAGGATTCAGCAACAACCTACAGTTTTCTTTTCATGGTCGCTGTCAGCGACTACTACAGCGATTTCGTTACGAATCAGCGATCCTGAGAGTGTAGAAGAAATAAACCCTGTCACATCCTTTAAAACTACGCGTTCAGCACTTATAACGGAAGATCCTATTCAAAAATAAGGGTCGCCTCTTCTCTGAAAACACAATTTTCTAAACGGGGTCGGCGAGGACTGAACAATAAAATCTAGTTTGCTTTGCATCATTGAGTGTCAGAAATGTCAGCGGTTTCATAGCACCGAATTTGTGACGTAGAAACTGAGCTACGACAACTCTGTAGTTACGCATTGACGGAAAGATGCTCATCAAATGAAAAGCAAAAATCAAGAAGAGGACTATGTAAAACAGCAGTTAGATATAAATTACTAGAGTAGCTTCAAAGCCTAAGAACAAAATTTATGATGTGGGGTTTCTACGATATAGTTTTGAATTCTTTCACAACACAGATTCTTGTTTTTAAAGCCAACTTTCTTCGATTCCTAAAAACTAACAAAACACTGTAAATCAGGAAATAAAACAAAGTAGACTTCCGTAGGTAAAGAAAACCGAAGAAAGCAAGCTAACATGATAAAGTTCTCTGTGATGACTGGACGTCCATCATATCTGCTTTTTGAGTGGTGTTAGGATTTTTCACTACCGATGCCCCTCCATTAAGTAGGTTAAACGATGATGGATGTTTCACTGTCGTTGATATTGGAGGAGTTGATAAACTGAATTCACCTTTAGCCGTATGAAGACTATCTTCCGATGACTCGCGTGCTGTAATCAGACGAGGCATGGCTGTGTCGCTGTTGTCGTTTCTGGCAATGTTCCATTGTTCGCGATCAAATCCGGTTAATGGCAGCCGTCCTGATGCAGATGTTGGAGATCCAGCTTCGAAGTGATTTGTGCTCTGTGTTATAGACCCCTCTAGAGTGCCTGACGAATTAACGGTCTTCGACGATCGTTCACTCGTAAGCCACTCAGAGGTGCGCGTCTCAGCGCACGACGTGTTTGCTTCGATGGAGTTGCTCTGTCTTCCATTTAATGAAGCTGTTTTTGGAGCTGGATCAAACGAAGAAATGTTCACATGCGTTTGATTGCTAGCAGTTGGTAACGTATCTATACGTGTGTGAGAGGCCCTTCTGTGTGATGAATCGCTTGGAATTGACGTTCCGGTGAAAACTGGAGTCTGAGCGCATAATGTGTGATGCTCAGCGGATGCAAAAGGGTAGTGCTCTCCTAACGAAGAACTTGGCTTGGCGTGCTTATCGGTATTGTAAAATACTATTTTATCCGTAGTAACTGCGGACGGCCCTTGCGGTATATGAAGATGCTTTCTTCCGCAAGGTGATCCTATTGCTTCGGCTGTTTTCACGAGGTGTTCACTATGGTATTTCTTAACTGATTGAGCGTTCGCATTTTGAGGAACGCTGTCCAGTCCTGGACCTGCTGTAGTCGTTTCTTCCGATGGTGGCACCGTTGGTATCACTGGGATTGAGGTTATAGGCTGCTCAACTCCACACGGTGCATTGTCTGAAAGATGGCTTTATTACGATAGTAAACCGCCTCTTAGAGTTTCTTCCAAGTCTAACCTCGAGAGTGGGAAGAACTGCTTCTGCCAAAAAGCTGTCCTCTACGAAGAGCTGAAAATGCAACCATTTCGTAGAAATCAATTGAGTTCATAAACTCTATGAACTTTTATATTCACCAGCCATTTAAGTCATAACAAGTCATAACTGGATCACCATTTATTTTCTAAGCATTTTTATTCCCTGTTTACAATCAACCAATTCTTTACTGCAAACGATGATGGGCGTATCTACCTTAACGCATCCTTGTCTCTTGATTACTTTCTCCTTTTTTCCTACATTCTCTTCTTTCTTTTTACATGTTCTCATACTGATACTTCGAAAATTTTGCTTTTTATTTCGTTAGGTAGCTATTATTCATTACCGATAAGATCCGGATCTTCCGATAGTCGAGCTGTGGACATGACGTACTCACTGTTGCTCTTCAAAAACACATAACTGGTCTTGGAATCGTGGGGAAAAAAAGAAGGTTTATGTGTTGAATCTCACTGATGAATATGGCGTTGATGAGCCATTTGATCCGGCAGGAAACGACGATAGTCCAGTTGATGGTGTTCCTGTTGTTCGAGCCAAACCACTACAACTTTAGAGTTCGACGATCTCGATCTATTGCACATGTAAGCTTTTTGCATAAACACATTCTATAGGTGAAAATAACTATTAAAGGTGTTTCGCGCAACATTTTACCTCTTCATCGTGGCTAGGAGGTGTTCCTGGGTGTCAGACTGCGGTACAGCGAGGAGATTCATCTCCCAGCAGGCTGTCCAAAGCATAGAAGAGTTCCGGAGAAAAGGTTTCCACCAGGAAGTTCAGCTAAGAGTAAACGAAAACTAGGACCCAACATCGTCCTGGGATCAAAACCTCATGGTGCCAAATATTCCTCTGATTCACGATGGTGGCGACTACCTGTAGTCGTCGAAACGTGGGCAGACTTTGGCTCGGCTGACCTCTGGACTCCGGTGAAACACAATGGCTAAACCAGCAAAACTCCGAAAAATAAAAAATGTGCTGTGGCCAGCATAGCCGATGAAAATGGGCCATTCAAGTAACCACGTAAGCATTAAAGGTGTTTGAAGCCATTTTCTTTTTTTAAAGATTTTTACAGAAACAACGCTTTCACTACGGACGGGATTTGTGTGGATGTTACGCCATAAAACTAACCGATTTTCACGAGGTTTGATAACTGAGTGTCCTCCCACCGAAACGTTCGCCCACGCCATTCGAGGTGTTCTAAATGAAAACAGCGACTTTGTGTGCTACCACTCTTTCGAAACTGACATACATTGCTTGCTGACTGTTCGTGTTGGTTCTAACAGTCGGCGAACGACCACGTCTTTCATTGAACCTTGTGTTAGTCGCTGAAAAAAAGGATGACATATTTGGTCACATTGTAAGCTCTTCTTTCGCTATTTTAACACCTCTTCATGCGAAGGTAAGGTTCTTCGTTGTTCAGCTGCCACTGCCTACACTATGAAGAGTGACAAACGGTTCAAAGTTTTTATACGAGTTTCTAGTAAGACAAACCAACGTCATGAATTCTTGCACCTTTAGCGGAAACCTATTCATACTGTTTTGTGAATGAGGCAGCTCTTTGTTTCGTAAACGTCGCATCTTGTCGAAAACACGATTTTTAAATAACGAATATCGCTAAAAACTATATTCGAAGCAAGTTCAAAAACTATGGAGGGCAGGATGAATGGACCAGTTCTCCCTGATACCTACACTTCCATCACTTAGATACCCTTGGCGACACAACCACTAACTGTTTCTCAATTTTGAGTTGTTGTACTGTCCTTGTTTTCGCACATGGAATTAAGTTTTCTATTTTCAATATTCACTTATCCAACTCGCGAAACTCTATTACTTAAAGGGTAAAAGGATAAAGCTTTCGCTGTTGATCAATCTCTGAAGGATGCGCTATGCATCCGACTTCATTAAACGTTTGGAGGTGATTGAATGCACATCTGGCCTTTACAATGATTCACGGTGGCCTACCGACATATCGAGCCAGCGATGCTATCCTCCTAGACAAGTCTGGTAGCAATTTGCCGAACCCGAAGGGATGGAAAGCTTGGTGGGCCATGGCTGCGGAGATCGATTCCACGTGTGTGTTGCAGGGCGCCTCCGACCACTGCGCCACCACGTGCCCATTCTATTACTTAGCAGTTCCTATTGCCGACTCTCTTTTAAGCTCTGCGTTGAACAATAGTTTACTGCTTTTTTTAAACGGGCAAACAGTTGTTATTGCACTACTTATTCATCCACAACAGTTGACGTGTCGGCGGATTCTCCTTCTTCAAAGCCAAGAAGTGCAAACTGGCACGTAGCCTACTAAGCTGAACACTGTTGTTACCACACCAAGTAAAACTTAACACATAAATTCTGTATTTACGAACTAAAGAATTTATGCATTAAATTTTATCTGTTGAGGTTATGAAAGTCTTTGGCTGAATATTTCGATTTGACCTTTCCAGACAGTATTCCTTAACCAAACTGTGAGACCAAATCACCTCATACTAATATTGGGTTTAGCTAACGAGTTAAATTTAGTTTACATTTCACATTTTGCAGCAACACCTTGTTTTAAGCTACAGTAGGTTATTTGAATAAAATTGCTGTGTGCTCGTCAAGATCCATCTAGAGAATCACAGGTTTCTATGCTACCCTAACCTAAACAAAGCCATTGCTGTTATCAACAGCAACAAGAGCTGAGTGTAAGCATCCTAGCAGAAACAAATCATCTGACTTACAGTCTGCAGGTGATGTGATGATGTCGTTACTCGGAGACACAGCTGTGGAGACGTGAGTTGAACCGGCAGAAGTGTCATCGAACGTAGAACTATCGCGTGCTGTCGTCAAATAAGGACTGGAATTACTCCTGATAATGTTTTTTATTCTATTTTAATATTTTAGTAAAATAATAAGTTTTAACCGCGAAATCGATGTCCTCAGTTTTTCTTGTGTTTTACAACCCTTGTGTCCTTCTCACAACAACAGACAGACCACTAGAACCGAACACCTTCTCGTAACCAATGCTTTGTTAACAAGAGGCTGTCCCATAAAAGTTTTCCCAGTATTCGATTTTAACTGGCTCTGGGGCATCTTGAGAAGCAATTTCAATACGGTTTGTGGCAGCTCTCCTAGTTGTTTTACGAACATAAGCAACGCAGCCATAGAATTCGATTAGCTGCCGTTGTGAAGTCTCTGTGTGAAGGATAGTCTCTACGATGTAAATCTCTTTCTGATCCACAAGTATTGGCAAACTTCTGCAGTGAAGATTTCTGTAAGCTCTACCACGGCTGTCGGGATACGAAAGAAAACGAAGTAAATGCGTTGGTAAGAAAAGATAAAGACGGGTAGTCAAAACGACAGGTCTTAAAGCCGCTGCCAAATTCACACACGAACCTGATCAATGCCATGAATAATGGTTTCACGACAAGGTTTGGAATGGAAAAAATACTAGGATCAGTAGAACATGGAAATGTTTGGATCCGAGTATTATAAAGATCCTCCCAGTAAGGTTAGGTACTGGATATTACGCGCTATTTCACAACGTTCTGAAAAATTCTAAAGGCTGGACTGTATTAGAATACGTTGCCTGCTTCATGACGAAGTAAGTAACAACAATTGAAGATAATGAACAGTGGACACAGCTTAAATTTCTCTTATTACTCAATTTTGCCGAGGTCGCGTCTAGCGCAGTGATTGGAGGCGCCCTGGTATACAAAGAGAATCGATTCCGTGCCCTTGGTCCACAAAGTCCTCCATCCTTCCAGAGTCAACAAATTGGAGTAAGACCTGTCTGCAAGGATAGCAGCACTACCTCATATATCGGTAGGCCATCGCGAGACACTGTATGGGCCATATGTGAGTTCAATCACCTCTAACGATGCTTTCAACGATTTACGGCCTCATCGTGGCTGAGAGGTGACTCTGGGTGTCGGGCTGCGGTATACAGCGGAGGGATCCATCCCCTGGCAAGGTCTCCCAAACTAAGAAGGAGACCGGCGTTTCCATCAGAAAGCCTAGCTAAGAGTAAACCAATACCAGGATCCACCACCGTCCTGGTATTGAAGTCGCATGTTGGCAAATCTCCCTCTGGTCCACAAGGACTGCCACTACCTGTGTTGGTGAAGTCCTGGGGTAGACTTGGCCAAACTGGGATTCCAGGAAACCACAATGGTTTAACCAGAAAATCTTTGAATAACGGAGATTATACTAGGGCCCGTACAAACAATGAGGACGGATTGTTCAAGTATCAAGTAAGTATCGAATTAACGATGCTTTATGAAGCCGAATGTACGGCGCATCCCTCACATATTGACCAACGCCGAGAGCTTTATCCTTTATCCATTTTGCTCAGCTTTCTCATGCACTCACTATACACTGTTTTAGCAGCACACTGATATCCTATGGCGAAGCTAACGATAGACGCTAGTGGGGTTAAAAAGTAGGCTACAATTAGTCATCTAGGCTTAAGAAATAGCGCAGTCAGTATTTGTTGCCTGCGGATGCCCATTCTCACTACATGCTGGGTGTAAGATCAATATCCATCTTTGCTTCCTACTTGAGCGAAACATAAGGTGGGAATGATGTGCAACAACATATCAAGTTTCATTACGCAAAAATCTTGGTAAATTTTCAAGTCTGCCATAACAATAGAATCAATTCCTATGAAGGGCGCGTGTGGCGCAATGGTCGGAGGCGCCCTGTAACACACATGTGGAATAGATCCCCTCATGACCCACCAAGCCTTCCATTACTCCGGGTTAGGCAAACTGGTACCAGACCTGTCTTGGAGGGTACCAGCACTGGCTCGATACATCGGTAGGCCACTGCAAGTCATTGTAAAGGCCAGATAAGCACTCAATAACCTCAAAACGATGTTTAATGAAGTCGAATGCATGGCGCATCCCTCAAGGACTAGTCAACGCCGAAAGCGTTGTTCTTTTTTACCACATCAATTACGACTCAGGAGAGAGAAGATCATGGCAACTATGAATATTGCAGAAAAGTCTGTATTTAATAGCAGCGTACCAATTCGATGAATGAGAGCTGACGTCACTATGGAACGACATGGATCGTGCTGTTGATACTGCCGACGTCGGTTGCTCGCCAGTGTTCATGTATGGCGATCTTGTCTCTTCAGCCCTAGTTACACTTTGTTTAGCAACGGTTCTTTGTTGTTTTCTTATCTTGACACTTTATAATCGAGACATTTGGTGGTCTTCATAGTAGATTTACAATACTACATTGACTACGTGGTATTATGTTGCTGTTGTTCTAAGAAATCCACGAACATTGATCGACTTACGACGTGGCTCGACGCGCTATGCGGCTTCTGTTTACTCTCTAAAATAGTTTATAGATTCGCAAAACTATGAAAGGGGGGTTGATTTGGACATACATTTGATGCACACGTCGATTCACATGAAGAATTTGAACCTCTTGAAAGAGACCGTGTTTGTCCTTCCAGTTGTGTAGTGGAAAAACAAGAGCTTCGTGCCGTTATACTTGGACTTCGCTGCCTGGAATAAAATGAGCGCCAACTTTTTAATAATAATTACGGTTATCAGGAATATTTAGAGTTATCTGTCTGGCAGCAAACTGGTAGGGGCCTTTAATTATTATAAAGCCGTCACGGTGAATGCTGTTGGATAAATAATTAACGCTCGATTGTTTGTCAACATTTCGAACCCTTAAATTCATTTTGATAAAATTCATTTTTTGTATGCCGTAGATTCGAATACGGACCATATACCTCACAGAATGACTGATAAACGCTATCAATGGGTTATCCCAGTTGCCCTACCCCATTTTTTGCAGTATCTTCTTCGCGATAGGTGCGTGTGATGCAGTGGTCGGAGGCGCCCTGCAACACACACGCGGAATCGATTCTGACGCTCATGACCCACCAAGCCTTTCTTCCCTCCAGGTTCGGCAAATTTGTACCATACGTGTCTGAGAGGGTAGCAGCACTGACTTGAAACATCGGTAGGCCACCGCGAGTCATTGCAAAAAATGCAGACATGCATTCAATCACCTTCAAACGATGCTTAATGAAGCAAAATGCATGGCGCATCCCTCAAGGATTGATCAAAGCGGAGAGCTTTATCTTCTTTATCCTTTATCTTCTTCGAGTTTGCCACAGGTTCACAGTCATGTGAAATATAATGTGAGCTCTGTTACTGTTCGAAGGCGTTCTCTACCAAATTTCCACTGTGGAGTTTATGTGCAAACGGCACAACTCCTACCGTGACATTTATATTTCTACCGTGAATAGTCATGCAGTTTACTCCTACATTACACTTATGAAGTAGACGCGAAGGGCTGGAAATGCAGCCGATGGACAAGAAATGTCTCTGACTTTTCCATTCTCCTTCATTTTTATAAGTAGTTTCACCTACATATGCCCTTGCTGATCTCCTCTCATCACATCCTCCAACTGACCAATTGCGTTGCTGATAATACGATTCACCTGAAATAATTGCCTTGCTGTATAGGAAATTCTCATGGTTTCACAAAGTGGTAGTTCGTATTCCGTTCTCAATATACTCATAAATGAAGTGGGAATCACAGAAGCCAACACTCACTTCACGTCCGGAGTTCGATATCGTAGCCGCCGATCGGTTCTGATTCCTATCGACCATGCTTTAGGCAGACCACTAGGAAAGAAATGAGACCAACCATCATCCAAACCTTATAGTTTTGTTTGTTTATTCGAATTTACTGATGATACGAGAGTATCGATAAATATCACAATCATCGACTGTGAGAGCATCAAAATCGGTACGATTTCATTATAATTCGAGCCCCTACAAGGTCGGTCGCACGATGACAACAGTAAGGTGAGGTTACTGTTCTCATATTTCTTGTACAAGGAAGCGGGAAGTAGTGATGACAATGTCGTAACTATTTCAATCCAGTTCATAAGATCCTAAGACCAGAATCATCTTGGCGATATAATAATTTTTTCTTGCTTTACTTTCCCAACATTGTTGGAACAAAGGAAGAATGAGGCTTTCGGACTTGATCTCTCCCTCAAGTGTGCCCAGCCTTGCTGTTCCTCCAGTGTATTAATAACCGGATTCTGTGGAGAAAATGGGGTTGACGATTATTCAAACCAGTGTAGAGGATAAAAAGAGAAGCCGTCAATGAACTCATTAAACATTACAGCGATAACTCAATAGATATTTGTTCCATGCAATGGCTTGCTTGCACCTGCCGTTGTACAAAGTCAATGGTTTTTAACCTCTCTCATAATCTGGTGCCGATTTGCCGATCCCAAAGCAGGAGATTCGGGGTTAGCCAGCAGGAGTGCGGAATCGAACCAGAGACCATGTTGGCACTACACAACAGTTCTGCTCTGTGTGCTACATGCGTCCCGTAGTCGCCATACATCCTCTCGTTGTTTGTAAATAAAGGCTCCCGAAGAATAGGAGAAATTTTGCTGGTACATGCTGACTACTATGGTTGGTTCAATAAGATACAGCATGGTTCTGTAATTTTCGTAATGCTGTTCGAATATCCAAAGATTTAAGAAAACATAGTTTCAGTGCTGAAGATTTATCGGCACCGTTTCTGACGAAAATGCTCGGGAAAGTCCAAGTTCTTAGCACGGATTTGAAGTGCACAAAACAAAAGAGCGGTATGTTTTAACACCGATTCTTTGATTGATAAGCTAATAGGAGGTCGACAAAAAATTATGTTGCATGTTATGCTTAAATGATAAACGAATAAGCCTCTATTTAACTCAGTTTGACCTACGTCATATATGCACTTCATTAATACCCTTGAGATTCCTGTGCGAGGGATCATGAAAACAAACCGTAACAAGTGCAAGGACATTGGGTAAAACTAAAACATGGTAATACAATAATAAACACAAAGCTTAAGTACTTCGACGATTAGTCGCTATGTCGTACGTACCCCAATTCTTTCCTCTTCGCTGTCTTGCTGCCGTGTTCGTGTATGGGCTCAACAGCGACTCGAGGATCTATCGTCTTCTCTCCTCATTGGCATCCTGAACGCGAGTGTACTTCTCCATATCATGAGGTTTTCGACTCACGACGTTCCCAGGTTTTCACCCCAGTCACCGGTCGACGTAATTGGTGCGTTTTCTATGAAGTCTGTTAAAGTCGTAGACTGTGAATGTTTTTCGTGGACGATTCCAACAAATACCAACAGTTTCAAAAGCGTTGTTGACGGTGTAAGTCGAGGAGCCTTGTTATGCGTTGTACTTGATTAAAATGATAACAAGCTCTGGCTCCGTGACATTTTAAAACGATGAACCATATGATTTTTACCTGAACTATTCAGGCAAGTACCTCTACGAATACTCAGTTGAAGTTCATCCCGAAAATGAAGATGAAAATTTGGTCGGTATGTAACGACTAAAACAATAGTAATGACTTCGTCTTAAATAATTTAGAAGGTGGAAAAAGTTGGTGCAGGAGAGTATTTATCAATGGGTGTAAAGAGCAACGTCTTTCTATTGATGTTGAAGGATCTGATTAATAGAAGCTCGACTTATTTCTGAAATTGAATAAAATCGTACGACATTGAACCATAGTTAGACTTCAATCGTGTGAAATCGTCCCCTAATCGTGAGTGATTTCAAACTTCTTCAGCTCTACTTCAAGAACAGTCGAGTTCGATTAGGAACGGGATTCATACTGAGCCTTACACAATCTCTCCCTATTCTTCCGCTATTGAGAGTGAACAGGTATGCTTCACTATAGATAATCGCAAGGATGCTGAGATCGGAACAAAACTAGGAGCATAAATTAGGCTTCAAACCCGGGGTTACCCTTCTAGGCCTTTGCCCTGCCTTTCTTTCAGCCACATTTTTACTTTACCGGTGCTTTCAGATATCAACCACCAATAGGAATGGTTTCGGAAGCACAAATTAGTATTGAATGCAGTTACGCTGAAGCCACAGTCGAAATCTTAATGTCTTAACTTTTATTTACAGTCTATTCTTTTCTAACGAGAGTCCCCCCGGAACTGCAGTCGTGCGTTAGAAGGCCAACTGAGTTTCTGGGTCTTACTCATGTTTTGACACCCTTGTGGTTATACTACACATGTTGGCCCGTCATGAAAAAAAAGAATAGGCGGTAAATAAAGGCCAAAACACTGTGATTTCGAATGTGGCTTCAGCTTCACTGTTTTCAATGCTGCATTGTGCTCCACATATTATTCCTATTGGTCGTTAATCGCCGCTAGAACCGCTAGTGTTAAGAAATGACTGTGAGAAAGGCGAAGCGAGAGCTTCGGTTGGTTTGGGAGTTGGCGCATGAGTCACCGGTATCGTGGGTTCGATCCCCACATAGGGCCACGAGTTTTGCTTAATTAGCGTCCTTGTGATTATGTTTTGCATAGTAACCCGCCACTAAGAAAGAATAGGTAATAAATAGAGGTTAAGTCATTATGGCTAGGTTTAAATTTCGCATTTGTTACTGCTGCATCAACCTGTTGTGGCTTTTCCGGTGGGAATTTTACATACCCAAGTAACTTTTAAGAAAGGTAAAACGTTTGTTCTTTGTTACTCAAACTTCCTCAAGTAACAGTAGTATAGCTATCCCAATTTACACTCTTTACTTTATGTAAAAGCCAGAAGTACTTATAGAAGTAAAAAACATAGGTTCATATTTTTCCCATGCAAAAGCAACAATTAACTAACTGTAAATAAAGCAAGTTCACAGCAAAAATCAACAGTTTTCATGTAGTAGCGGTTTCTACGATGACCTTCCTAATTTTATTCTCAACGCCGTTGTTTGAAATCTATCGAAGAGCGTTTTCCACAGATGAAAACTTCTTCACACTTTCAGATAGGGAGTTCGTCGTACGAACGCAGCTATCATTCGGGAGGGAAATGCATCTACTTGGTGAACGTACGCTTCGTCTTGTTTCATCGCAATATAGACGGAAGGTTTGGAAACTACTCCCATAAGAAAACAAACAGAAAATCGACTTTTCTCCCGCTAAAAACCGATAATTTCCAACGGTAACCGGTCATCATTTTTCTTTCTTCTTCCAGAGCGCAATCGACAATGAAATTTGAGTTTGAATTAGAAACAACACTGAGGGAGGTTATCGAGTATTTTCGAGAAGAAAGCACAGGTATCCACCGGTACGTGAGGGGCTGCTTCGATCGATATCCGTACTGAAAGCTGCCAGAAAGCAGTCACATTCACTTTATTACTTACATTGTTCTTTTGATTTGGTCCAGAGGACAACTGAACATTTTCAGTGGAAATTTTTCGCCTCGTCTTGCTTACGCTATTGGTCGTGAGAATGACATTACATTCCCACTCTCTGATTCCGACCTCCAACGCCCGCTATCGGACTTGATCGGAAATCTAACCGATGAGGTCAACACATTGACAATTCTAGCGGATATTTCGTAGATGTTTTGTTTTGTTTGAATAAATGAGAGAGGTATTAATTGTGTGCACACAGACTTATGTAGAGTGTATATGTTTATGTATACATATGTCCATTTGAAACGAAATTTCTTGAAGTATCTGCAAATGCATGTATTCGTGCGTTTATACATATATACTTACTTACTTGGACGATCCGTTTTCACGAGCTGTGCGGACCCCAGCACATATGCCATTCGTTCCTTTCTCTCGCAATCGTAGTCCATGGGGGTAGTCTTGTTCGAGCATGGTAACGCTTGCCAATCTCATACCGTGATCTGTAAAACAACTTCAGCTGCAGGTACAGCTGATTAAATTTATTTACGAACACGTCCGACCAACGTGTAGGTGGTTGTCCAAGGGTACGTTTGCATTCTCTTGGAGTCCTGTTCTTTTCGTCCATCTGTCGTTTGTTCTTCTCATTATGTGACCCGCCCATCTATGTTTCGCTGTCGATGTATATTTTCCTGTATCTCGAAGATGTGACAGATTTCGAAGGTCAGAGCTTCACATTCCGGCTACATATTGAGAGTGCCGGCTATATTTCAGAAGACATCGCTCAAGCGCTCTGTGAGTGGTGCGAAGCATTCTTGACGTAGTTGAAGTATCAACCAACGTCTCTGCAGGATAACAGAGCGCTGGGAGGACCGTAGAATCAAAGAGATGAACGCGGATTTTCGGGTCCTTCAGTGGACGGTGGCTTCTTTAAGAGGCCCGAGTGCGATCCAAGCTGCACTCTTTCTTCTATCTAATTCCTCCTTTATGTTGGTTTCCATGTTCACTGATCGCGCAAGGTATGCGTACGAAGACGTCTCTGTAATGAGAGAGTCATCGAATTCAATTTTTTTGCCTTCGCACCATGGGTTTTCATGAAATGGGTCTTCTTTCGATTTATGCGAAGTCCGATCTTTTTCCCCTCTTTGTTGAGCTCTTTGATCATCACTTCTGCTTCTCTTGCTTCGCTAGTACTTCTCAAGAAGATGACGATGTCGTCGGCAAAACGAAGGTTTGATAGGAATATTCCATCAATACGTGTGCCTTTCTCATCCCACAATCAAGTGACCTCATTATCCACTGCAGTGCGGCACTGAATAGCTTTGGCGATATTGTGTCGCACTATCGAACCCCTTTTCCTATGGGCATTGTAAGAGGTCCATGCAAAAGCTGCATTTTCGTAGTGCAGTTCCGATAACAGTCGGACGGAGTCCTTATGGGGGACGGCTTCACTCCTCGGTAGACGAGCGCTCATAGGATTGCACTCGTTTCGACGCTGTTAAACGCTTTCTCATAGTCGACAAATGTTAGGACTAGAGGGAAGTGGTATTCCAGACAAACTTCGATGACTCTGGACACGGTTTGGATGTGGTCGATGCAGAAAAATCGTTTTCGAAATCCAGCTTGCTCGACTGGTTGCGCCTCACTCAATTTCCTTGATATGCGCGAGAGGATAATCTTCGTGAAGAGCTTGTAGAGTGCGCTTAACAAGCATATGGGACGATAGTTACGAAGATTCCTTCGGTCTCCTATCTTGGGCAACATGACCGTGCGCGAGGTCCTCCACTGGTCTGGGATTTTCTCCTTTTCAAGGCAGCATGTCATATAATCTGCGAGAAGTACATGTAAATTGTGGCCTCTAACTCTAACGAAATCGAAAGTAATATTATCGGGTCCTGGAGCTGTGCCTCTTTTCATGCTTTCTATCGCAACTCGAACATCCGTCGGAAGAATTCCAAATGGCTTTGCTCCAGCGGGGATATTAGGGCCCGGGACCGGGAATTGTGGAATGGAAAAGGTTGGTGCAGAACGTTTCCGCTGTTAATTCCATATCATAGCGCGAAGTTTTGACGATCCCATCTTCGTTCATCAGGGCTGACAGCGGAACATTATAATCGCACAAGTCCCAACGGCATTTTTCAGATTGCTTCTTTTCTCTGCTGCTTGCAGTATTTTCTGCTTGTACCGTTGCAGATGTTCCTGCAAAGCTCTTCTGCAGCTGGCGTTTATTACTACCCACGTTAAACGCGTTGCAGTAGGATCAAGCTTCAGTTTCCTTCTCTTTTCGAGCAACTTGGAGATGCGATCCGATCTTCCTGTTTAAGGAACCGAAGCGAACTTGGCACAACTTTTCAGCCCTTCGATAAGCAGCTCGTAGTCTTCGGTTAGGTCTTCTTTAATCTGCCAGTCATGTTTGGACAGGACTTCGTTCAGAATGTTTTTGTCGTAGACAGCTAGACTTTTTCCTCGTGGTCGATGAAGAGAGTTCTTTTCCAGCTTGCGGCTGAATCGAATCTTCGCGTGAAGAAGGCGATGAACGGGACCAGTACAGAATGACAGGACTATCCATGTGTCAAGTAGGTACCATCTTCTATTTGTCAGAATATGGTCGATCTCCACATGAGTCATGCCGTTGGGAGACTCCTATGTCCAGCGGCGGCTTTCCTTCTTCTGGAAAAAGGAGTTCCCATAGAAGAGATGTGCTGCTGACAGGAGTCCTGCGAGACGGTTGCCATTCTCACTTATTTCTCCTAATCCAAAATTTCCGATCCTGTATTCCCTCTCGTTGGCCTTTCCTATTCTGGCGTTGAAGTCTCCTACAACAACTTTGTGATATGCTTTATCATTGCGGATGACTTCCTCCAACTGATAGTAGAACGCATTTAATTCTTTCTCATCAGCTGCGTCCGTCGGTGAGTAGCAGTCGAAGATAGTGATCTTCTTTTTATGCGACAGTTGAAGACGGTGGACGGCTATGTGAGGGGAAAGGATCACGTACGAGTCGACGAGATTGACAATGAACGGGTGGACGACAAAGCCTACGCCACCGACATCACGAAACCTTTCCTCAGCGGATCACAAGGGTCTCGTTGTTTAGTTGGCGTATGTCGGTTTTCTTGATTTTTGTTTCTTGTAATGTGATCACATAAAATTTAGTTCGATCTGCGGCTACAAGAAGGGTCTGAAGATCGGCGTCTGTGGAGAGTGTTCTGGCACTATACGTGCATAGTAAGAAACAATCTTCATGGCGTGTCGTGCGTGTGTTCGTCAGATCCGGTTCCAATGACGTCCTGCGCAACTGGAGATTTTCTGGCCTCTCACCGGTCGTCTCACCGCCTAACGTCGTAGACGGGAGCACCCAGTGTGCGGGTGAGGCTGGCCTATTGCTGGTCGTGCAACTTGGTTCTCCCTGGAGTTCTAACGTAACCTTGCAAGGGCGTTTCCAGGTCCTCGCCACAATGTGGATCAGAGGGAGGTGTGTTTTCGGTGACGAATCCTTCGCTGGGTCTTCTTACTCAAACTTGGGTAATTATATATATATATACACATGTATATACACAAGTGCACACAAAGATACACACATACCGATATACACACCGATACAGGCACATGCACACCCATATACACACAAAACTTCTCCAAGTGCGATGATTTTACCATAAAGACTATTCTTTTATCTTGTCGTTGGTTTTTGTAGTAAACACATTCGTTGTCCCTAATATCGCTATGCAATCCTGCAGCATGTAAGTGTTTTCACTCCGATCTGAGAAGCTTTGCTTGTCACAAACAGCTTTTGTTACTCAAACCTTTTTAGACAATCAGAACTTTTTGTGTGTTGTTTCTGTTTCAAGCTGTCACACGCGCGATAACACAAAGCGCAGGAAGTTGTTCTGGAAACTGCTCTCAGTCATCTGATGTGACCACGACCACGAGAGAGTTGGATGCGGAAGTCGCCGAATGGTTTCGGTAAAAGTTCTAGACCTGTGCTAAAACACCGCCTCCTCCGAAAGGCTTTTAAATAGCCCTGTGATTCAGTATCGCATTCGTTTCGTTAGGGCTCCTTGTTCGTGTGCGATACTCCATGTAGTTAATCCAAGGTGTTATTCTTGATGTACGTGATCACTATTCCATATTAACTTTGCTGTCATGTATTTTATATGCACGTAATACTGTTTCACTAGCCTATAACAGAGCTGCTAGCCAGCCTTACCCTCACTTACTGATCATGATACCACGTTGCAGCCTGTACTGTTTACCAATGTTCACATATTTTAATCCTTGCATTACCATAGTTATAAACGGCTTGATTACGCAAGCTTGAGATGTTGCTCTGCAACAGCTGCGAGAAACACCCGTGTGGCAACTTTCTACGACGTCGAATACTCTGCTCAAAGTTAGTGACCATAAGGTGCCGAGAACTGAGTCGAAGACTTGATTTCCACTAGCAACCACGATAATTTTCGTGAACTTGAAAGACTTGCTGTGTCCACTTCTATAACTTATATTTTATTGCTTACATTCTCGTGAGTTAATAGGATTTCCATCTAAATTGAAAACAGTTGATAAGACGAAATGACATACAGTAGCTCATAAGCTTATGAATAAAATTAAATAATAAAGTGCTTCAACGCTGACACTTTAGTATAAACTTGCACTATCAATGTTCATCTACGACTTCAACTACATATTTGACTATCAAAGTATGAAACCATGCGTGCTGATTGCCGAACCAAAGCCGATAGACACCAGTCTTTGGCACAGCCATCGAATCCAACAACGGTACCATTGTGGGGCCAGGAATCTTCTGGAAAATTATATAATCGGATCAATTTTATCGAAATCACGGTATCCACCCTAAATTTAAGAGCATAAAAAAGGCAAAGTGAGAGGAAGTGAAGAAAGTGCAGCTTAGAAAAGTCAAATGATATAAGGAATGGATATGAAGTGGTTTTGTTGTGTTCCATTGGCGAATTACCGACGACGTTGTGCACCGACGCTTGGTTGCGAAATAATAAAAGAGTTCTTGTGTACCGAAATGTACAACCATAAGTGAGACTCGCATAACTATTACATTTACAAACCAACTTTATCTCAAGCTTTTCTAGTAGTGAACAAGTATTGTGAAAGGGATCTTGTTGGGATCTTCGGCTGAATCTCAGCTGTCGAATACCCAAGGTGCCATTTGCCATTCCAAATTAGCTTAACAAAGCCAACAAATTGGCTTACCTCTCTTAATCTAAATGAGTCGGCTATTAATTTATTCTTAACCTTGGATCATAGTTATTTAGCGCATTCATTGTCCTATGAACTATAATGTTACCCTACTGATAAAATTTATCACCTGAGTATAACAATAACATCTGTTGTTACGTAACTTACGTTTATAAGTGGATAAACCCTCTTCATTTCAGTAAGATCATTCGATTCTTTCTCTTCATTCACTTCATAGATAGTCCATGAAAAGTGTCCATTGGAATGAATCTCCCATTTCAGACGAGTATTCTTCAAAAAGAAAAAATGCTTTTACATGCTGAACTTTCATCTTGAATTTCCACATTAAGGGCCAAGATGGCTTTTTTTTCCTTAGGCGCTTTGTGCAACTAACAGGAAAGGTGCTGTTTTTGTTTGTTTAACTGCTTTGTCATATCGGCCGCATCACTTCACCGACATCGAAAAAGTAAAGTAATTTCGGTTTTCTATTTTTTTAAAACTCATTTCATTTCAGATTTTATTTATTGCCTGTCCTTTTTTCATGGAAGGGTACGATGTGAAAAAAGCCATAAGGATGCTGAGATATGAAAGAAACTTGGAAACCATTCCCATCCTGTTGACGAATAATTGCTGATAGCACCGCTAGGGTTTAAAAAAACTGGCTGAGAGAAATAGAAAGCAAAGGCCTCGCTAGGTGTGGTAAAGAGCATGCGGGCCATCGGTGAGGATGATGACGGGTTCGAAGTCCTATTGGGTTTTGGACATATCTCAGTAACCCTGTGGTTGTATTTCACTCCATTTCGTTTTAGGACGCATATTCCACTGTGAATCAATTCAATTACCTCTTTTGCTTCGACGTCAACATATCCACTCTTTCCGGCAGGAATATGGATGCTCTTCGCGTTTGTTGGAATTTCTCCTTTGTAGTAGGTTTGAGGAGAATAGCTTAATGCTCGTTCTATCGAAGCCAGAAAGCGCTGAAATACATTGTCTAGTAAGTTTGGCGATGATCAACGAGTTCAGACCGTAGCTTATTGGTGTTTTCACAGAGTTCTGGCAATAATGTCTAGCTTGTGACTAATTGAATTCTAGGTAGTTCTAACGTTTTCAACTTTTTCTAAACGAAGTGTTCTATTAATTGTTATAGCAGTGCCGATTTTTCACAGCTTTCTAGTCCTCCCTCCCAAACAAGTCTGGTACCAATTTTTCCGACCCCGGAGGGATGGAAGACTTGGTGGGCCGTGAGCGCGGGGATCGATTCCACGTGTGTGTTGCAGGACGCCTCCAACGGCTGCGCCACACACGCCCTTCCAGTTCTTTTTATATTGAGTACTACAAATTTCGTTTCGGTTTTGAGTTTCTGTTTCATGTGTGGAAGTAATAATTTTATTTACTTACATAGTTGTTTGTGACAATGAAAATGTTACAAATCCGTCTGAAAATTTTCAGTTTATATTGAAGATGTTTTCATACATGGATGTTCTTCAGTTTTTTTCAGAATGTGCTAGTAAAGACTTTGCATAAGAACGCGAGAAATAAGTGGTCGAAATACTTCCCACCATGTCTTGACCTTCGTCATTCCAATATGTGGGAAGACATTTTCCATCGGCTAGTTTCAATATATCCTCTTTCCAATTTGAGCCGAGAATATTCACTTTCTTGCGAGTTCTCTCAGGTAACAACGGGCGAGCGACGGTCCTCAAAAGAAAAGACGCGGTTTTCTCACATTACTGGAAAAACATATTAGCTTACGAGCGCTTCCTGAATTACCAAGTAAAATTTGTTTTTTGGGAACATCCTAGTGATTTTTCCTAGTTAAATAGCGTTGTGAACAAAAGTATACGATTGCAAGAAAACAGTCCGGATTTTTCTCATACACTGGTTTTTCCAAGGCTTCAAGAGCAAAGGCGGACGAGTCGCATGCTTTGTTTTTTTCACTGAACAGATCGAATGGGAATCTTTTGTATTTAGTCACGTGTGATATCACGAAATATCTAAATTTCGAAGAAAACATCTGTGTATAGGAGACTTTGAGCCAAATTCGCTCTACAGCACTTCAGAAGTCCTAGCCTTCAAATTTAACTTCGTTAGACATGTTTCTCAACTGCTGCCCTCCTCCGGCGCTTAAATGCTCTCGTCATCTAATCCGCGAGAATGTCATCTACGTCTCTGGAAAAATCCTGGAGAACCTGATTTTGTACTTCTTCGTTGCATAAAGATGATAATAAAGCAAAAATTACTGTACAAATAGCGCGCTGTTCTGCACTATATTATCTCTGGTATATTACACTATGCATAGTTCACAATGCTGTTACTGCCTTTTACAAGTTCTCATGTCAGGGTATTATTTGTGAAACAATCACAATGATGCTGAGATATTTTCAAAATCCGGACCGCAGATGTCTTCGGTGGGGAACGAACGCGCTCTTTGCCCTCACGTGAGCTAACACATTCACCACCACACCATGCGGGTCCTTCCTTTCGCCTGTCTCTCAGTGAGTTCTATCGAAAAGACATAGTATTCTCGTCGAAGTTATTTGGTGTTTATCTTTCTAAAAATATTATAAAAATACCATATTGCGTTAATAAAGCTTGGCACGTTAACGAGTACAAAACTGTGCACCATCTCAACGTAGTGCTCTGCCATGAAAGCTGAGATCGAAGCTAAACCACCTGGAAAAACATAGTTAAGATGGATTCTTTTCATCAAAAAAACAAAGGTTGTGCAAAGTGCAATTCATTTGCTAGCTCACGAGAACGTTTTCATCTCTTTCAGATAAGGATTGAAAATGAAGTTGCGTTGACCGATATATTTTTTAAATGCTTTTGAAACCACAACGTTACTTTTGATTTGCTGTCTCCTACTCTTTTTAATGGCGGGGTGTTACGCGTGATACAAACACAATAGTGTCGAGATATTTGCAAAACTCTAGACTGTAGGTGTCTGGTGAACGGTGAACGAACTCGTTATCATCCTTTCTGGGGTATTACGCGTTCACCACCGCATCATGCGGCTCCTTCGTGCATGCACCTGCTTTTCAGTTAGTTGTCTATCGATCAGTGGCATCAGCAATCACCAAAGAAGACTAGCTTGGTTTTCATTAGCTAGGAAAAAGCAAAGTAGTGTGGATCGAATGCTGTATTAAGGTAGAAGATTATTATAAAAAAACACCGCTTGCATTTAGAAAAAGCTCTAATAAGAAGAAACTATGGGATTACAAAAGACCCATACAATATAACATATTATAAATTCTACCCTGTAGTGGTAAAATATACTACATTATTACCATAGTGTAATGTTATACTGCTGACTGTAATCGATTGTGTTATGTTATTATACACAAAGGAAGAAAAGGTCAGTGCTCTCGACGTTCACCTACCCCTGAGGGATACGCTAATGCATTCCACTTCATTATGCATCGTTGGAGGTGATTGAATGCATATCTGGTCTTCGAAATGATTCACGATGCCCTGCCGATGTATCGAACCAATGCTGCTAACCACGCGGACATTTCTGCTACCTACCAGTTTGCTTACCCTGGACGGCTCGGTGGGTCTAGGGCGCAGGGATGGATCCCATGTGTGTTGCAGGGCGGCTACGAACCCTGCTCCACGCGCACCCTCATTTCATTATGCTATTTTACATAAAGTATTTTATAATTGAGTGGAAAGGATGTGAACTGTTCTAACCTGTAATCAAGGTCATACATCTATGGTCCAACTTTAAGCCGGTCAAATCCATGATATACAAAATAGCACACTGTTCGCCTAAAAACATTATTTCTCCAAAAGAAGGCCTGTTCTCAGAAAACACTTGAATCTTCACTGATCTCCAGAAAATAATTTGTGGTACGTACCAGTTTTCTTCTCCAGTTCCATAATCGCTCTCAACATACTTTCCAAATCATGCAATCGGGCTCTAGAATAAGAATAATATCATTTTTACGTCATCTACTTTAGCGAAATATCCTCGCGTCGTTAAGTTCTTCATTGAGTGACACTAGAATAATTAGTCTGACGACGCAATTCACGTGGTATATCAGACCGAAAAATGGAACCAGCTCCCTATGAGTTTTTTCGTTGTCAACAGCTTAGTCATAGCATTTTCTGATGTAATGATTAACCTTTTGGTGGAAGCAGAAGGCGGTCGCTAAGCAATTGATTGAAATGTTTTCGTTACGGTAAGCTTGAAATTTGATAGAAGTATCCGTGTCCACCTGAGTATCTCGTTGATCGGATGTGTTTTCATCATTCCCCAATAATCATTGCCGCCGCTCTGCTCGATGTTTACAATACAATTCGGCGTTTTGATCGCTTCGCCCGTGATGCCCCTCTGAAAACTAAAATCAGACATTAAAATTACTTTTGTTGAAATTATTATCGTTATCTTCAGGTTTGCACCTGGGACAACTAAGCTCGCCATCCCTTCGAGTAAGGAAAATTGATACCAGGCCAATTTATAAGGACAAAAAATAGCAATTTCACCTAGAGCTCACCTAGAGCTATTGCAATGGCTATATAAGCATTAACCATCATTACCATTCTGCGAATGGACCTGTATGCATGACGTGCTCCCAGAGAGCATTCCAACGAAAGACGTTTTGCACTTTTACGTTTTATCTTCGTAAAAGCTGAATCTCTCTGATGTGAGCTGCTTTGAAGTTCCCGGTGGCAACACTCATTTCTATTCACCTTCATGTAACTGCAACTTCTCAATTTTGTAATCAATCTGTCATTTTTTTCAGCCGGTGCTCCATTGAAGAAGATTTCACTTGATACGACTACCAAAACCAGCATAACGAGAACGAACGACCATCGACTAGGATCAATTGGCCCCGAAGAAGACGAAGACGTCGAAACGTTAGCCGAACGAAGGGTTTATGTAAGAAACTCGTGTAAGCTTGTGCACTAAACGGAAGTTGGCTATTGGACTTGGGAGTCAGTTAACGGTACAACTCATGCGGAGATCGACCATATCCTTACCAATAGAAGGTGGCGCGTAGTTGACATATCGGTAGTCCCACTATTCTCTACTAGCTTCCATCACCGCCATCCTTGCGCGGACATCTTATTCAGACGTAATGTGGAAAAGAATTCATGTCTTCGGGCGAAAAGGTCCGAACAAAGTCCTGTCCAAATGCAACTGACAGTTTAACGAAGGCCCGACTGAAAATTACGAACTGCTTGCTGTGGGACATCAAAGTTGTGCCCAATTCACATAATTTTCTCAAACTTGAGATTGCACAGCTTCACCATTAGCACTAAGAAGTTGTTCGGGAAGCGAAGCAAACTGAAGCTTGATTCTAGTGCACCACGCTTAAAACGACTAGTACTAAATTCCAGTTGCGGAAGGGCTTTGTAAGAAGATTTATGTCGGTATATACAGAAGGAAGAGTAGGACACATATAAGCACAAAAAAGAACCAGTTTGAAGAAATGCCATCATGATTTGTACAAATTTGACGTTCCTTTGTCAGCGCTAATGAACGAAAATAAGGCCACTGAAACTTTCTGTCATGATGTGGTGTTGATAACGGAGAAGTTTTTCATCAACCCTTTCGGCTCCACAGTCTCCATCTCCTACCTTAGATCCCCGCTAGATAAAACCACCTCCTTTTTTGAATTCTTATTTCTGAGGTAACGAGCCGCGAAAAGGCAGAGTTACAGGACTCGGCAATATCACCACCGATTTTTTCTGTGGCTCTACCTACAACTAGCATGCAGTTGCTGCAACCCACATGATATCTTGCCTTCAGAAAGAGAGGATCCCAGACCAATGAAGAAACTTGCGTACGGCTATTCTGCCTAAGGGGTGTAACCGAAGAATTTTTTATGACTATCTTCCGGTATGTTAGTTTGAGTGTATTCCACCGGCTATTTACAAAGACTATCCGTTCGTGAGTACAATGACCTTGAATGAGGCGCAACCATTCGAGCAAGGGGGATTTCGAAAGGGATATTTTGCTGCGACGGTCACATCCAGACCGTTTTAGCGGTTCATAGAAGTCTGTCACGAATACCACCTGCCCCTAGTCCTGACTTTTTTCGAATATGAAAAAGCGTTTGGCAGTGTCGAAACTAATGCAATCCTATCGGCATTCGTCTAACTGGGAGTGGACCCGTCGTAAAAACTCTACTTGATTGTCATCGGAAGTGAAAAGGAAAAATAAGGCTTTTCCAGCTATCACTTACCATACCCATAAGAAAAGCGATTCGAAAACGTGAAACAATATCACCAAAGTTGTTTAGTGCCGCACTTCAGTGGGTAATGAGGTCACTCGATTGGGATGAGAAAGACATCGTATTGGTAGAAAATTCCCACGAAACCTTCGTTTCGCCGACAACATCGTCTTTTTCTTAAAGAAGTATCATTGAAGCAGAGACGATGATCAATAAGCTCAACGAAGCTGGAAAAAGATCGCAAACAAACAAGTTACAGACTAATTAAAAGTCTCAGAAATCCGCGCTCAACTTTTCGATTCTTCATCCTTCAGCGTTCTGTTATCCACCAAAGACCTGTTGAAATACTTCAACCGTGTCAAGAATGTTGCGCACTATTCACAGAGCGCTTGGACGGTTCCTTATATAGGTGGCATACGCAACGTCTTTCTGGCATGCGAAGACTTGATCTTCGAGATTTATCTCATCTTGGAGACCCAAGAAAAGACATATCGATGGCGAAACAAAGATAGATAGTTTGTATAACGAGAAGAAGAGACTACTTACGAAAAGAAATGCAGAATGAACTCCACGAGAATGTAGCGGTACCCTAGGATGACCATTTACACGTTGGACTCTTGAAAGATGGCCGTTCAAGTAAGCAAGTGAGTAAAACTCTAGATTTGGCATGTCATCATTGGCATCATTTATCGACTTAGATGGGAGATCGTTGGCTAATCAAAGGAATCGTTGCCATACTGGAAGAGTCCCTCATTTAATTCATAAAAAATGGTATTTGTGGTGAAGAGTAGGAAACGTTGTAAAACGGCAATCTGCTGTATCTAGAAACAAACACTCTCAACCACCAGACAAAGAAAAAATATGGCAGGTCTTCATGTAGTAGCCGAACTTAAACCTAGGGTCGAACCTCATGGCGCTTTCAGCACAACAACGAATCTGGGAGCGCATGAACTGTGCTTATGGGCAATCTAGGTATTTAAGTAAATATTTATTTCGCTCTTTGTTTTGCCCATAATTATCCCTGCTACTCAAATCATTCGAAACAAATACTTTTAGAGTAGAATTAACTTTGTAGGTGTCACCTTGAGGAAGAAGTATTTCAATGCTGACCTTCCAGTGCTTGTGAACTGGATGATTCCTTGGTTTATCGGGTAGATTATCAAGGTCCCAGTCTAACTTGCGCATCATTAGATGGTTAATCAATTTCGGTTTAATCACTTCCAAATTATAATCGTGTCCTTTCAACCAACGAAGAAGGTTGAAATCAGTGTCGTAGTACGGTGTGAGCTGAACTAGAAATATTGCATAAGATTTGCATAAAGAGATCAGCATAAGACATGGAAATTCTTGAACGCTGGAAAAGCCTACCGTAATCTTTTCTTTCTTAGTCTTTTCTATAAAACAAGCTGTAAAAGTGAAATCTGTAGAGAATAGGAATTTTACTGGTTGACTTGCTGATTAAATATTGCCTTAAGATCGGCTTCTTGCTGCTAACAACAAATTGGACCAATGGCAGGCGTATGATTAACGCAGACATTATCGTTCAAAATTTCCCATCTACTAGAGCAGAATCGGTCCGGATTCAATCAGCTTACATGTTCCTTAACCAGATTGCGAAGCTCCTCGGTCTTCTGTCGATCGACTTCAGAAATCGGCATCTTTTTCTGAAGTGATGAAGAACAGACTGAGGTAGTAAGTTCGAAACATGTTTTCGGCTTGAAAAAATCTATTCACAACAATTTCACTCCATCGCCAGTGGATGAAAAAGGTTGTACTGTAGGAAGGCTGTATTGAGAAACCTAAGTACTGTATGTTATTAGGCTGATCAAGAAATAATTTTAGTGATGGTTTTTTACTTCGAGTGTCGTAAGATTGTCAAGTTTTCATTTGCTGCCTACTATAATTTTTCACGGCTGGCTATGATGTGAAATACAACCACAATGATGTTGAGATATTTGCAAAACTCCGGACCGCAGGTGTATGCGGTAGGGAACGAACGCGCTATTACCCTTTCCGGGGAGTAACGCGTTCACCACTACACCATGCGGGTCCTTCGTTTCGCCTGCCTCTCAGTTAGTTCTAGCGATCAGTACCATCAGCAACCACACATCAACGGTGTTGAACTGGGGAACCCTGATCTGAAGAATGGCAGAGCGCATTTTATGCGCTTACGCTCTATGCAGTAGAATTATAGATTAAAATGTGGTTTTGACTAGTTTCATAAGTTAGAAACTGAGACGCCAAGACACTAGTTCTGACAAATTTACTTCTACGAATCCAAACTCAGACGTAGTGCAGTCAAATGGTTAGACATTAATAGAATTAATAGGACCAACGTCAACATTAATAGAATGTAGGGCCAAGGAAGTGTTATGGAAACAAAATGCAACAATGGTTTAGAAAATTTCGCCGTAGCGAATTTGAAGTCGTAGATGGAGGAGGTCGTGTAACTCGTTCTGTTATTGATGATGGCGAATTGAAGAATGAAACAAACAAACAAACACACACACACACACATACACACATACACATACACACACATGCGCATACACACACACTTGTTCTAAAACTTGCAGAAGAACTCGATTTCAGCGTATAAACTGCTTCGGAGAACATAAGGAAACTTGAAAAGCCGTAGAATGTCGGCAAATGAATGCCACATGAATTGTATGACAATCGAAGACATTACCGTTTCGAGGTATCGTTGGCTTGTCTTCTACTCACTCACAACGACCTATCCGTCGAACGTATTGTGAGGAGCGACGAGAAGTGGATCCTTTGTGAGAATCGAGGATGATCGGCTCAGTGCTTGGACCACGTTGAGGCTCCGCAGCACTTCACAAAGCGGAAATTACAAAAAGGAAGGTGATTCTGGCCGTTTGACGGTCTAGAACCGGTTTGATCCATCATGGTTTCCTCAACAGTGAATGAAACAATTAATGCGCAGAATTACGTCTGGTAAACCAATGAAATTCATCAAAAACTTTAACGGTTGTGCCTCGCAATGGTCAACAGAAAGGGATTAATCATTTTGAACGATGACGGGTGGCTCACTTCGTGCTATCGATTTTGCCGTTGTTTGACGAAATGAGTTTCGTAACTCGACCTCATCAACTACACTCATACCTTGTGACTATCACTTCCTCAATCACCTTTACAACCTCTGGCGTGAGAAATGCTTCAAAAACTAAGCACAGGCCGAAACTGGTTTCGACGACTTCGCCACTCCCAGAATTCCAAAGCTCTATGCCACTGGGAGAAAATGAGAGACAATAACCACAGTGATGCTGATGTCTTTGCAAAACTCCGGAACGCAGGTGTCTGCCCTGGGGAACCAACGCGCTATTTCCCTTTCTGAGGGCTAACGCGTTCACCACCACACTATGAGTGTCATTTTTTTGTTCTTAGACCCGCATGGTGTGGTGCTGAACGCGTTAGCCCTCGGAAAAGGTAATAGTGCGCTCGTTCCCCACCGCAGACATCTGCGGTCCGGAGTTTTGCAAATATCTCAGCTTATAGTAAAAAGTTAGCATTGTGATAGACAATAACCTTCAGACTCCAAAAGTCTTTATTTCCACTAATAAAGTCTATATCGAGCTGAGCACTTAAATAATATACGATGAAACCCTGCACTAAGTTCCGATCAAACCTACATTTATTTCATATGTACAAGAAGAAAATAGGAGCCTTATCAGTATCGTTTCACTTTTCTCCTCTCCTCCATTTGTCGCAAATCAGTCTCGAGGCGGTTGTATTTTTCACGGTAGAAGTTAAGGAAAAGTGGAAATAGTGGAGAAACTTATGTGAAAATAATCAAAAATCAAGCAGCAAACGCAGCATGGAAAAGATAAGAATAAGTGATGGTTGACAGTTCAAAAAATGAGGAAAAAGGAATGAAATAATGATAAAGGAGAGCAAAGAAAGCGACGCTCGTAATCTCTCAGCTGAGGTTGAATGACGTCATTAAGAGTCGACAGCCTTCTTTGATCATTTTGCGATGTACCGAATTCCATTAACAATGAAACGTGGAGAAAAAAATGAAACAGGAAAAAATGAAAAATGAAAGAAAGTAGAACGTTCCCAAGTATTTCCGAAGTGTTCCTGACTTCATAAACATAGTAAGATTATCAAGTTTCCATTGGAAATGTTTGTAAGCTAAAAAGAATTTCAGAAATTTTGGAAGAATTTGTGGAAGGTGAGTGGGAATTTTTCAAGAGATATGAAAACTTCCACAAATTTGAAGCCTTCGAAGAAATTGTTTTTGAAAAGTATTGTAGTTGAAAAAAATAAAAAAGGATGAACACATAATTCTCTTCGAATCAATCAATCGGTGATCTTACTAGTTACTTGGATACTTGGATGGCTCGTCCTCACTGGTTATGTGGGCCCCGGCAAAATCGCCATCTTTTCGAAGTTTTACTGCTTTAGCCTTGTGTTCCCCTGGAGTCCCGAGTCAGCCAAACCAAAGCTTCCAGCAGGTCGTCACCACCACAGGCAATCGCCGCCCTTATGGATCAGAGGGAGATTTGCCACCATGAATTGACTAGTCATGGTGCTAGGACAGTGACTGATCCTGGTATTGGTTTACTCCTGGCTGGGTTTCCTAATGGAAACGCCAGAATCCTTCTCACCTCGGCAGATCCTACCAGGGGGATAAATCCCCCGGCTGTACATCGCAGTCTGACACCCAGGAACACCCACAGCCATGATGAGGCAGTAAACCGTTGAGAGGTAGTAGATTTTAATCGAAAAAAACCGATCGCAATAGCAACCGTCTTATGACGATTTCTAATTAAAAAGTGGAAAATATTACACGATATAAATTTGCAAAATTGCCAATTAATTAAATTACATGATATTGTTATATTTTTCATATTAGGGCATGTGTGGCGCAGTGGTCGACGGCGCCCTGCAAAACACACATGGAATCGATCCCTGCGCTCATGGCCCATAAAGTCTTCCATCTCTCGGGGGTCCGCGAATTGGTACTAGACTTGTCTGGGAGGATAGAATCACTGGCTGGACACATCGGTAGGACACCGCGAGTCATTGTAAAGGCGAGACATGCATTCAATCACCTCCAAACGATGCGTAATGAGGTCGAATCCATGGAGCATCCCTCAAGGAATGATCAACGCCGAGAACATTATCCTTTTATTTATTCTTTCATTGCGATATTAATTGATTATTCATTATTACTGAAAAAGAAGATTTGAACAGCGAATTGATGTATCAGTTAGAAATGATCATACCTTCGAAACACCGAACGATACACTAGGAAAACACTGCTTTCCTTGGTAAAAACGCTGTCGAAAGAGAAACTAAATAACTAGATGAGGTAGTTAGTATTTCCTTCCGAAAATTTTAAGGAACATTATGGTCAAAGAAGAGTTGGAGAAAAGCACCCTCTCGCAAGAAACAAATCTCTCAGCTGATAATAACTCGAAAGACCGACTTTCCATAAACCTCGGCATAGATAGTTAATATATTTATTTATATGAACTTATAAACTGATCTTCTTAAGCTGACGCGAGGTTGGTACAGATCTTCGTTGTCGCTGTTTTTGATTTTTGATTTTGATTTTTTGATTTTTTTTCAAGGAATAATTCAAAAAAAGTCTTATAAAGTTAGGAATAAAAAAGAGCACTTGTCAAAAACATGTACCGTACGGTTAAAAATGTGTGTACAGGAGAAGAGGAAAGGAAGGAATCGCAAAACCTGGCACGAAAAATTGCCATTTCCAATGGCTACGAAGTAGAAGCCACTCGGGTTAGAGGAAAATGTTGGGTAGTTTCCCAAAATAATATTTCAGACGAAAGTAGGATCCATTTAAGCTGCCCTTCATATCAAATGAAGTAAGTCACGCCATTAAAAAGTGCTTAAGAAAAAGTGGTCTTGAAAATTATGTAACGATTGTTGACATCCCACCCAATACCCTACGCAGCCATTTAGTTCGAAATCGTCTCTATGATCGTTTGTGCAGTTCAGAAAACTGTATGATCTGTCCTAACGGGAGAGACGGGGATTGCATGAGTTTAGGTATAATATACTTGATCTCATGTAATGCATGAGGCGAGGAATATATCGGGGAAACGGGTAGACCACTTTGTGTCCGCATGAAAGAACATCTAGATGGAAAAGCTAAAATCCGTTTAAACACCTCTCTAGGTACGCATAGGGCACAAATGCACAACGGCGATGATTTCGAAGTGAATGTGCGGATCCTAGCGAAGGAATCAAAAACATCGACGTGCAAAACTCTTGAGGCGTTATGGATAAATTTCAAAAATCCAAAGATGAACCGGAAGAGCGAATGCCTCACTATCACGCGTGACCTGGCGCCCTATTTCAAAATGATATTTTGACCCCTGGGCGTGTCTTGCTCGCGACCCCATGCGAACTACGTGTGGGCCAGTCCCGCACGTAGCGTCGCGGTGAGTGGCCTTTCTGTTCAGTATGGCGTCTGTTTGAGAGTTTGATCTTCATTAATACTTTAACCTTTGTTTCCACAGAATAATAAAAATATTCTAATATAAAATACGTTAAGACTCTGAGGAAGGCGAAGTCGCCGAAACGTCAGCCATCGATCAATAACATCAAAAACAACGACAACGACAACGAAGACCTGTACCAACCTCGCGTCAGTTTAAGAAGATCA